GATTGATCATAAGATGGACTCCATGCTCTTATTCAGAAGAGTCAAATAATACAAACTGCCTTTGCATGTGTATTTTTGGTATATATAATAAAAAGAAGTGCCTGGACAGGGCAGGCAGATTTCATCAGTGGACTTGTTGGCAAATCTTTAAGTATAAACTTTGCCATGTAATAGCCATAGTTTAATATGCAGGTGATAATTTGAAAAAAAAAAAGGCGATTCTTGCTCTATACACTCAGCAACCACTTGTAAGATAATGAAAGAGGTGCCAGGAGTGCGGGGCAGTGAAATGGCAAAGATTGGGGTAATATTTTGAATATTACTGGTTGTCTTTCTATTGGGTTGCAGCTTGATGACATGCACGTATCATTTTTTCCAATTATGGGAACAGCAGTGCAGACAGAGCGATGGTATCATGACAAGGACGACAAGGCTGAAGGTTTTTTAAGGGGCAGTCATGACTAGGGGGTAGATGTGCATCAGATGTTGTGGTCGGTAGGAAGTTGCTGGTCAGTATCTAAGCTGAAGAGATTGACTATCAATCAGATTTCAGCCAGATAAGTCCATCTTTAAATATGGTTGCCATAGGGACATCTGATATATTTTCATGATGAACATCAAGGTTATGAGGTTCAATTTCTCCAGTCCCTAAGACACTATTTTTTTATTACTGAAGCTGTGAACAGAAAAATATTATGCTCTATTGAGATTGGCATTTATGTTTGTAAAATGATGGTGAAATTGTCGTAGAATAAAGAAGAAGAAGAAAAAAAAAAGAAAACCTTAGTTGCATAGTGTAGCTACAGATATTGACCGTAAGTGAAAATACAAAGCAAGGTTTGTGATTACTGCACTTGGTTTTTAACAAAAACCACCTAAGACAGAGGCAATTGCAGAGATGTCAATTAAATGTCATTGCCTGTTATAAGAATATTGCTGCTTTTAAACTTACACAGGAGACCAGGGAAAATTGCATGGGTTTTGTAGGAAATTACCTGTCAGAAAATATGCCATTGCATCTTTTATGAAAATCCCCAGGGGAGAGAAGTCATTCTTTTTGTGAAGCAGTTCCTGTCAGAAAAGGCTATAATGTATCAATTATCTCAAAAATCATATCACTTAGGTGGCGTGGAAGGTATTAGCTTTGCAGAATTAGTTTTTCTTTTATGAGTTAATGAGCTAGGTTTTTTTTTTTTTTTACAGTGGTAGAAATACTAATGGGTCTAAAAGCAAGAAAAGTATAAATTTTGGTTGGCTTTCCAGTGTCCAGTTATTTGGGGTATTGGAATTTTTGCCTCTTTTCTTAAAATGATGTCTGCAAGCCCAAGTATAGAGCACTTCTTATAATAAGCATCAGAACCAGTTGCTTAAAGGAACATGCTAAATATGGAATAACGAAAAAGGATTTTGAAGTTTGCCCTCAGTTTCTATTGTGCCAGGTAGCTTGTGTACATGAACTGTCTGCTGAGGCACTAGTTGTATTGGGCTATTGTTGGAGTCTACCTGTGGTGAACCCATATACAGACAGAATGAGTAATGTTTGCACCTGTCTTGCCACCAGACAGAAGATGTGACAATGGTAGCCTTTTTTTTCGTGGGGTTATGTATGCATACAGATACTCATTGCAATAACAGGTTGGCCCAAACAATACCAAGGGAAATATTATTCAGTTGGAATACAAATTAAAATAAAAAAGAATCTATATCAAAAATTGATGTTAATTTTGTATAGTCATTTGGATAATTTTATTTATGTCTCTTTCTCTCTCTCGAAAATATTATGAAATAATAATAATGATAATAATATGAGATAAATTACATAAATTAATACATTTTCAGAAATAAAAAAAGGAAAGTGCTATGAAAATAGTACTTAAGGAATATTAGAATATGATTTTGAAACAGAGAAGATAAGATTAAATAGGTGAATTACTTTCTGGTGGATGACCATGAATCAAAGTATTTCCTGTGGAAACCAACAATGATATTAATTGTCCTAGCCAGAAATAATACTAGTTTCTGAGTTAATAGAACTGCTTTTGAAGTGTTCGTCTATTAATCTGTGGTCTGTCTAAACAGTAAGCGGTGACACATCTTTGTGTGACAGTTGACATTTTGAGTTGACCTTGGTTAAGGGTCACATTCAGGTGTACTGTCACCAGGTGGCAGTTGTCTAATCTGTCAAGACCGGCACTTCGTAAACTGTTAACCTGACTTTTATTTTAGACACAAGGCTACTTGTCAGAATGATGGTCATTTTAAATGTGACTTGTACTTGAATGTAACAGTCACTTTGAAGTTGCCATAAGTTAACTGTTAGGGCTCCGTTTGAAGCTTTATTACATTGACCATTTAATGGAACTGGATCCTGAGCTGCTAATAGGATTGAAGTTGAAAAGTTGGAAGAAAAAAAAAGTCACTGAGTAACTTCAGAGGCTTTGGGAATTGGAAGTGTTCCACAGCCTTCATGTTCTGTGACATTTGACCTGTTGAAAAAAAAAAAAGTTTCTGCCTGTCTGGTTGTGCACTTCAATTGTGGACTTCAGATAGTCCATGGTACAGGATCTTACCTGACAGTTACTTTATAGACTGCACAATATTTTCTACTTAAAAATATGACATGGAAATATGGATGAACTTCAAGCTGGAAGAGTCCGAGTGTTTGTAAGTCAATAATGAAGTATGTGCAAGGAGTAGGTAAGTGGACTCCCGCTGAGTTGTATTTACTTCACACGTGGAAGTCCTCATCTTGTACGGCCCATAAGTTGTACTCCAACATATTTTCGGTTTAGAGGCACTTGTCTTGTAATTTGTGTTACTTTTGGATACAAGATAAAGGATGAATTTCATGTGGAAGCACTTTGAGGAAATTGCACATTAAGTAAGCCAAATGGACAATGCTTTTGTCTTGCAATGGCCAGGAAATATTTCATTTTATTGAAAAGGACATTCTGTTTTTACTCATGTGCACTTGATTTTGCGAAAGATATTTCTGAACTAGATACTAATAGAAAAAGAAAAGTGATAATACTGGTTTAGCTAAAGTCAGTCTTGGCAAGTCATATGCCAATGTTGTCCAGAATTGATATAAATGTGGGAGGTGACAGTTTACAAACAAAGTCACACCTATGGTCAGTGTGATCGTAGATCCAGGTCACCATTTGATATACCTTATCCTTAATTCCCTATGCCCAGGGGAGTGATGCTAATATGCTGTGGTCTCAAAGGTGAAAATAATTGTGATAAAGTGCTGTACTAAGATATGAGGTTCTTGGTCTGTATTGTATACCTGGATTTCATTAGTAACCCCTTCAAGTGTTAGTACACAAGCCCTTTGATTTAATTGTGGTAAGATTTAATGTGAGTTCAGAAGTGGACAGCTGTTCAGGAGTTTGTAGGTGATTTTAGTTTGTCTCATTTTAAATTCTCTTTTGTTTTATTTTAGTTACGCGTATGTATTTTACACAGCAATCTTTCTAGTGGTTATAATTTGGTACAGTCTTTGTATTTGATAAAGCCTTGTTAGTCAGAGTTTCAAGTATTTCTGACATGTTGTGCAGAACCAGCAGTATTTCTTACACATGGTGGACTTACTAACTCATCAACTCACTCAGAGTAAGAGATTCTTGCAGAGCCTTATATCTCATACTAATCATATCTGAAATTGCTTACATTCACAAAGTGGGCAGGGTTTGAGTAAACTGAACTCCAGTCATAACAGGGATGCTCTAACTGGATGTACTGATGATGTTCACTACCGTAAGTTAACAGCCTGGTTTGGATGTGTGGGGTATGAAACTATAAAAATATTGTTTTTTTGCAGAACCCACCTTATGCCATGGTAATTATCAGTTTATTCAGTTACTTTAGATGTATATGTTAAAACCAAAAAACAAATGCTCAGGCAAGGTCAGCTCACGACTCCTATCTTCCAAGCCAGTAACAGTTAGCATAAACTGATCTTGGCATAACCAAGCTATTTCGAACAATAAATAACTTTTATCAGTTCTTCAACTAACTTAGCCTAAAAATTTTAGTCTGTTTTGTATGTGGATAAATCAATGGTGCCCCATTTACTTGTCGATATTGGGGCTATATCAGAAAGAGTTAAAAGAAGTTAAGTGTTTCTTAATAACAACAGTTGTTCTTTTTTAGTGGACTACTTCAGACTTTTAGGGACTTTGGTCCTGATCAAAGTAATCTGAGAATTTTGCTCTTAAAACCTAGAACCAACTTCTGAGATAAATTATTTTGTGAAACGGGCCAGCTTGCAGTAACACAAAGCAGCCCCAGTTTGGGGTCTCGGTGAAGACTGATATGGATGTCATAGTGAAAAAGACATGCCATGGTCTAGACTGTCTCTCTTGGAGACATGACTCTAAAATTAGAGACCGTATTTGAGTTCACAGCACTTATGAAATCATATCAGGAATATGCATCTAATTTGAAGTGTAGGGTGTAAGATTTATTTAAAGTTCATGTGTGCGGAGTAGGGGTAATTTATTGGGTTCTGTCAGGTCTTCTTTTAACTTTTTATCATCTGGGTGGAAAGTTCACATATTTGTGGTTGAAATGTCAGCAAAGATGTGTTAATTTTGTGGCAGAGTGTGTAATACTCAGAGTTCTGATACTGCAAATGTCAAACTTCATTATAATTTACTGTAACTGTATAGCAGGTTTTTGCAATTTATAAAAAGTTCTTATTACAGTTTATATTTAAAAATCCAGAGATGACTTTTTAGTCCAGCAATTGATATATAACTTTCAGTATAAACAGAAACCCCTGTTGTTATTTGAGTGAGGATATCAAAGGTAGTTGAGAGTTCCTAGAAGATGGAAAGAGAAACTAAATGCAGAATAGTAAAGGTTGTTTATATTGGCAAGATCCGTAGTAAGCGTTCAGTGTCTGTGCTAATAATCCTGTCATAGCACCATCAGTTCATACGCTCTGTTTAGACAAAGGTTGAGCTAACAGTGATTTCTATTTTTTCTCATTGCAGGTTCAATACTGTGCAGACCAATACAGGAAGCAGCCACAGTTGTGATAACTTGGAGGATATCGTAACGAGCACTGTTCGTGTGTGCATTCTTGGAGTATAATTATACCAGCGGTATAAGAAATCTTCACAATAGGACCCTTCTCTCGACATACAGTGTACATTGAAGTCGAACTCCTTTCTATGATATTGGAATCAGAGGACTAATTGTGTATACAGCTCAACAAGTACTACATGAAAGGATTCATGAATCATAGGACTGTAATTTAAAAGTTTGAGCCTTGGACTTGTTATGTATAGTTGTGTACTGCACCCTGAACTTCCATATTAGGACTGTAGTCCGTTTTCAGTAATTTTGAGCTTTAGACCAGCTATGAGCTCTTGTGTGCTATTTTAATAAGAACACGTAAATTGAAAGGATTTGGACCATATCTCACCTTTGAACAACTAACTCACTTGCCTCACTTGGATCTGCCGAAATTTGTTTGCCTTCTTGTGCTGTGACACCATTCTGTTCCACCATGGAAAAAACTATATGAAATTTTTTTTCATTGATTCATTCATCCACGGTACTTATTCCAAGGTTGTGAAGTACGTCTACATATCAAAAAATGGATCAAGTGGATCACATGTTCAACCCAGGTACAACTGGAAAGCCTTACTATCATAGCCAGTATTATCCTTCTTCTTCAACATCACATGACCAAATCGGCAGCATCGGGGTACGCGGGCCGCCATCTTTACAAAATGTCCAACAGAGGGACAGGCACATGGATTACTCTGAAACTTATGGGAGCAGAGAGCAGGGCTTGGACCCCAGGGGGATGCTGTCTCAACTGGCCATGGAAAATGGCACAGCGCGAGGCCAGCAGCCCTATATGATGGACACCAAGTCCAAAGGGTCCATGCCACCACAGCTTGCGGACCACAGCTCTATGAGAGGACCACCAGAGACCGTATGGAGCCCAAGCTCACGCATGAGCATGTCGATTACCAATTCGAAAGGATTATTGAATGGGCCTGGAGAGAACAACTGCTTCCTGAATAGTGCCGTTCAGGTGAGTGAGGTTTTGAAACTATCACTAACACAGTGGGACAGCTAACACGTTTCACAAATCTTTGCATTGAATTACGATGATTATCTGGCATTTTCTTAGGCTGAAGAGCTGTAGGACTCTTCAAAGGCCTCTTAACTTTAAGCGTTATATTATTGTGATATAGCTGTACACAATTTCATTTATTTTAGAATGTTGATCATCCTTTTCCTACATTTTACTCAAATTGAGCAGAAAGTTTCCCCTAGAATATACTGTAAATAATATATGATATGAAGGGAATGAGATATGAGAATGAGGGATTGACAATTATGTATAGTGGGTTCTGACAGATCACTGTATTACATTCAGCAGAACAACTACATGGGGTTTACAAAGTGAAAAGACACTACTAGGTACAAGTGAACACAGTGTTGAGAACAAGTCTCCTGCTGGAAAACAAGAAAAACCTTTGTTTTCTCGTCAACTGTGACACAGCAGGATTTGAAAGGCTTGAGAACTGATTCGGGAACCATGACAGGGACTGAATGACTCTCATCGGTAACAGTCACATGAAGACGTCATTTGTCTGTCTGCTGTCAGATTTAAGCTGTGGGAGTTGTTGGGAAGAAATATTGGGCAGGGGATTACAGTTATCGAAGCTGAAATTAGCGATAAGGAGAGAAATTCAGATAAGGAGCCTGGGGGTTGTCATGTATTGGTTCGAGGGCCTCTGCGAAGATTAAAGACAGCTTTATAAAATAAAAGAAAACTTTTGATAATTTGATCTTTTAACAAACATTTCAATAGTAAAAAGCTGTAAATAACACTCAAATTGACAGCAGTTTAGACTGAGAGCATTTTCTTTTCCAAAATACAATAGTGAAATCAGATGATTCTAAAATAGAAATGCTTTGTTGGCAGTCAGGTAAGTTTTAACACAGTTATTTCTATGTATATCCAGCAATGGTTTTCAGGACACCGCACTGCTGAGCTAAATTAGTGGAATTTTTCACCTGGATAAGCCTTAGTGAGCCCTATAGAATTATGACTAAAATCTATTTCTTTTAATACAGGAGCTGGTAAGCACTGTATTTGAAGGCTTTCAAGTTTGACCTGTCATTCTATATCTATTCAGGTGACAGCCCAGGTAGAGGGAGAGAGGCATGTCTTTGGCATCTTGCCAGGGCAGCTTCAGGTGACATCTCCAGGGGATAGACATTAGAGGGGGGGGAGTCTGCCTTTGTAAATATCTCATGGTTATAAATGGGTCATTGTCAAATAACACTAAAAGTAATTTTTAAATGAAGATATGGGAAGAGAAGTGATGACATATGATTATGATATATACAAAATAATACATATATATACAGTTCTGTAATGGATAAGTAAGTACCCACATTTACATTTGAATTGCTAAGAGTGACCAAGAAAGCAGTTTTAAAGTAATCTAATTTTAATGATATTGAGAGATGGGTTGTTAAGTTGATATAAAAAATTATATACAAAGAATTCCCAATGGCATTGACAAGTCACCAGGGTAGTGATAACACATACAGGCTGTTTAATGATTTACAATACAAAGTCGGGTGTCAGGTAGCACATGGCTGTTTACATCAGTTGTCTCACCTTGCAAAAACTTTAACCAAGGTATCATGCAGTCAGGTTGTTTAATGTCTAAACCAGTAGTTAATACTGCCTTTCTTAACAGATAGACCTTAAGATAAGAGACATTTTGGGGTAAAGAAAACAAAGCTACACGTACCCAAAAAAAGACAGCAGTGATAAGACTTTTTTTTGAAAAAAGTATATAGCTACGTTTACGTATTGACAATGGCATCAGGGGCATGTTATTCCAGATATTTTTTTAACAAAGGATTCCAGATGATAAATGTCACCGCCCCGAATAATACAGGTATAGATGTGGCTCATTTGGATCCAGGGGAACATTTTACCAGTTTTTCTATCCGTAGTTCAAGGCTCCTGACTTCAGGTCAACTAGCTCTTGGGCATGGGGGACCTTTTCAGTGCCGTTTGAATTCTAGGCCCTGGATATCCTCTACCAGGGCTGCCGTTATTTTTATGTGGACATTATCACTGAGGCACAGGACATAGAATAACCCTGAATTAAACCAGGGACATGTGTGAATATCTAGTGAAAGATGGATTTGTGGCCCTGGTAAAGGGTAGCCCTTGGGTACTGATATAGAGTTAGGCTGGGATTTGTAATGAGAGCTAGGGATTGTTCTAAAAAAATTTCTGAAGTCAATATTTTCAATGTAATTTCCTGTGTAAAATTGCAAAACAGAGTTTTGTGAAACGAAGAATGAGAGCTAAGGCCTCGTTCACATGGAAAGTCTATTTTCTAAAAATCTATTTTCTATTCGCGGCATCTTATGATCACGGTCTGTGCCCTGAATATCCCGCCGTGTAATTATTGGCACTGCGAATAGAAAATAGATTTTTAGAAAATAGACTTTCCATGTGAACGAAGCCTAAGTGGCATTGCTACTTTAAAACATCTTCTTCGTTGAAAGTATTGTGATGATTGTCAGGTGTAAAGGATGCAGTAGAATTCCCTTTACCTTAGAATATTAAAAAGCTTTATTACCTGTATAAACACATTAAAAAAGCATAATATCAAAAGCTTGGCAAGTTTTTGCAAGTGTAAAGACTTACGGAAGCTAAAAATGGTGTCTAATTTGTTAAACACAATACAAGAGGACAGGTAGATTATATTCACTGCTGCATAAATAGTGATTCCAGTCAAAGATAACTAGACCCAGACATCATTAAAAAGATCTCTGAACATCATAACCACAAAAAAAACCAGAAGTGTTTGTTTAGGGTTTTTTGTGATGGAATACAAGAAGGTATTGGTTCTATCTGGCAATGCACAGTCTCATTTGGCTGCCCTAATGTTATTAAATCCTTCCTGAATCATGTTTTAAGGGGAAGATTTCCTCTAATAGCTAAGTGCTGAAAATTTTGAATTATGATAAAAAAGTATGATGAAACTAAAAGTTAAGAAATTTCATTGCAAACCAAAGATTCACACCTGTTTCAAAATTACACTTTTCCAAGATTTGAGTTTCTAGGTTATTTTGGATAGTTGCCAATAGTAAATTATATCTATCAGGGGCCTGTTAAATATCACCTGGTCACTAATCAACTTGAAGGTCAGGTATAAAACTAACCAGCTGTCTTGTCCATTTCATCTTGACCAGCTGGACAGAGTTATCTGACCATAAGAAACATATCAACACAGGTGTAAGGTACACATTGAAAGTGTTACTGGGACGAGCCAGGGAAGGATCCAGGATATTGAAATTTGGACCTCTTAGCAAATTGCATAACAGTTAATTGGACTGCTTCCTTTAAAGTTGATTTTTATGATAGAAAAGTTTTTTTCTGACGGAAGCAGTGAAAAAAATTACAGATGCTGTCATTAGTTAGCTAGATAAATTTTGATCTGGTTAAAAAGTATCTGCCTGAAAGCTTTTAGCCACATGATAAAGAAGTGTGATATAATGCTTTGGCAACAACTGCTGTAAACCTAAGATAATTTCTACCACATTATAAACAACAAAAAAATACTTTCAAAATACATCAGTAGCTAAAAATCATGGTATAATTCAAATATGAATTCACAAGAGCTAGGCAGGAAAATGGGGGGAGGGGGGGTGCAGATTATTTATAGTTTCATGGTAAATATTTATAAGTAAGCAATAAAAATCTTTGATTTATAATGCATTTACCAACAAGCTAGTTGTTAATTTGTAAAGGTAAATAGCCGTAGGACATATATTTTAATAGCCAAAATAGTGTGCTCTGTTTCATGACATCTTCCTCTGTGAATAAAAATGGTAATTACACGTGCATGTGTGTAGAATTCCAACACCTTGGTCCATGTCATGACAACAGCACCGTTTCTCTAGGGCAATAAAATGGTAAATAAAAAATAGTTTAATCTCCCTTATTCAGTAGACCATACCATGTAACACGTCAAAAAGTTTTCCTTAGGCAGAACAGTTGAAAATTCATTTTAACCTTTTTTATATCACCATATGGCATAGAGCTTTGAGGCAGATAAAACATTCAATTAGGATTGTTAACTGAATACTTGTTCTATGTCACGACAGATGATGGCCTGCTCCTAGGCAGATGGGAAAATTACAATAATGTACATAAACCAAGTTTTATTGTGGTTGTCACTGTGCTTGTGGGCAGCACACTCACCTTTGTAGTCTAAAAAAGGTTTGATTCCATGCTGTTTGATGGATTACTAACTTCCACAAAGTATACAGTAGAGCTTTTATATTTGAGCTTTTCGTCAACAGACTTGGGGCAATATTCTTACAGGAAGTCGGCCAAAGATTGGAAGAGGTTATATCTGCAATAAGACCACTTTGTTTCAATACAGGGGTAATGAAGAGAATTCAATAGATTTGTTTTAATGCAGACACTTGCTGCGTATAGTGGTTACTTTGCTAGTATAAGTGTAGTATTCTTTGAGGTTGAGTAAATTGATGCTCATGGCATAAGTTTGAAGTAGCAGTTTTTGAGTATTAGCTTTTCCGATTTTTACAAGGAAATGCTGTTTAAAAACATCATATCCATTTTATTTCAGCTATGTATATACAGAGAAATGGGAGTTAAATTTCAAATTTCTATTTCACACAACATTGGACTTTGAATCAAATTTTTCATTACCCACAGGTTTTAGATTTTTATCTTAGCCTGCAGTTATGTAGTAGTGGACTTTGTTTCATACTCTGAATGAAGACATTTTTATTATTTCAATTTTTTTTCTTTTGCAGGTTTTGTGGCATCTGGACGTATTCCGTCGTAACTTCAGGATGCTAACGGGACATGCATGCATGGGAAACTCGTGCATTTTCTGTGCTTTGAAGGTAAGATGTGTGCTATTTATTACATATGCAATCTTTTTACAATGTAAGATCCCATGGATGTGTGTGACTTTTGTCAGGATTGCTAAGTATGATAGTAAAAACTGTGACATGTTTATGTGCTACAATGTTCTCAAGTTTGTGAACATGTTGTTTGGGAAGGGTGACTATAGAGTGCACAGACCTCTCTGTATTCTTATCTTAGCTTGATGAAGCTGTACCAAGGGTTTGTTTTTTTACCTCCATTCAAAAAGATTATTTTTTCCTTTGTGCAATGTGGATAAGCAAGTACGAAATTAAATTAAAATTTGACCAAAGCTGGGCAGTTGCACATAGTATTTGAATCCCATTTAATTCTGTCTGTGCAAGCGGGTAATAAGTATAGCTACCACTCCTTACCTTGTATAGTATGTAGATAATATGGAAGCTGAAGAAATCATTTGGCACTTGGCAGTACTAAATGCAAATTTATAGAAGTCAAATGTGGTTATGTCAGGTACATATGTCCCCAGTGTAATGAGTTCAAGACAACCTCTTTTGTTAAACCTGTCCAAACATTCCCCTCCTTTTCTTATGATGTAAAAATGTCTGTATCAGAAAATAAGGACTGAAAATACATTCTCACTCAAGCATAGTAAAATTTAATCATATGCTTAATGAATTCTGATTTGGAATAAAATATAATAAGTTTACTGTTTTCGTCCTTTTTTTTTTTCACAGTTGTTTCATAATTATCGAATTATTTCATCTGAAAAGAATACATTTGAATACCATGCCAAATATTTATTATAGATTAGATTGAGTAAAACAATTAATTTTATCATCTCCCCTGACAGTCATCATTGGCTGTGGCACGAGTCATTACATGATTTTATTATCATAATTTATCAGTGAATATCAACACAAATTTGAGTCTTATGCTAGTAGTAACCAGTATTGATGTATCCATTACTTTCATTTTACTTCCTGCCAACTCTCAAAATCTCTGCCTTCATACGTCCCTTTTGAACACACATACCATCACATGAGAAAAAAAAAACCCAGACACAATAACTTTGATGTAATACTACAAGCCAAGCCCACATGTTTTACTCTGTAACATGTCCACAGTAGTCATTGTGATATAGTAATCAGTGCCACCATCCCCCACATATTTGTGGTCCTCTATCCTCTGTGTAGTTTTGTGGCTTGCCCACTCGTGTTCACTGGCCTGTGGAGTGGTGTTTGGACAATGGCTAAGGTAAGGAAGCAGCGTCTTGTCCACCATTTGGGGTTTTAAAGGGATCTAATTTGATGTAATTAAGGGACAAGTGGTAGTTTTATTTCATGTCCGATATATATTTCATATTTGATCTGTGGTGGAAAAAATGGTGTGATCTAAAAAGGAAGAAAAGTTAATTTGAGAAAAGATGTTGGAAAACACAGGTGTATTTATGATAGCTGGCATATGCAGCTGGCTTTATTGTTTTGTTTTAAAATGTGAAAGAATTGTTTTTTCTTTATGATATCAGTATTTGATTTGGTATTTATTTCAGTTGAAGTGTGATATTTGCCTTCGTTTACAGTTCTTATTTAGTATATTCTTAGTTAGAAAACTTGAAGTAGGTCTTATGTGGTGGTTAAAAAGGACAAGGATTTCCTCCACATTCCAAAACACCCTTCCCAATTTTTCTTTTTAGGCTCTAAGCATACATTAAATAACTTACCTGTCATAGGGTTGACAGTGACAAGTGTGACTATGATTTATATTACAACTATAAGTATTGCCTTTTGAAAGATAAAAAGAGCACTTGAATATTTTATGTCAGATTTTGCCTTCAAGAAGAAAGAATCCTTGGGGTTCAGTGCACTATGACTGTTGCAGTGTTCTGAAGGGCATACTTAATAAGATTTTAATAGAATATATTCTGAAAATTCATATGAATCAATTCTTGAATAGAATAAGACTAATTGTATCTTTAAGAAAATAAATGCACACATATATGCCTGATAAGTCCTTAAGTCAAATACATGACAGATGTTTTGTTTTGTTTTTTTTTTTTTGCCACAAGGTTATATTTGACATGAAAATTGCTTACTCTATGTGGATAAACACGTGAAGTACTAATAAGTTACATTGAGTAAAAATACACTTCTTGAATGCTTGTAATGTATGTACTGTCTGTACTAGCATTAAACATTGCATTAGATTTTTTAAAAAGAAGAAGGGATGAAGGCCTGTTGAACTGAATTGAAAGTTACAAAGTGTTCACTAATTGTGGAAGGAAGCTTTGGAATGGATTTCGTATATCCCATTTTACTAGCTTTACCTCTGTTAAACCTTGGGGGCCATTTGCTCCTACTTAGCAACAGGTAAACCAGTGGATTCCCCATTAATTAATTACCAGATTATGGATAACATTTGTGGTTAATGCACAGTCTTCAATGGTGTCTAAGTCAGTAGACTGTGGTTCTTTTTTCTAGGTTGCTGAATTAAATTTATAAATTAGGAAGTTATCAGACCAGAAATTGGCAGTGGATAAGAAGATAGTGTTAGTGATGGCTGAAATTTTTCTGTTAGAAGTTAGAACCAATCTTCAAGGAGTTGTTAGAAAATAACAACAGTCTTCTTACTCTTAGGGACCGTTCACATGAAAAATCTATTTTCTAAAAATCTAAAAATCTATTTGCGGTATCTTGTGATCACGGTCTTTGGCCTGAATACCCTGCGGCGTAATTACTGGCAGCGCCGGGAATTAATTACAGCTTTGGAAGTAACTGGCTCGCAGCCTTATACCAGAAGCCATCATATAGTCAGGTTTGCTGTTTCATATTACAAGTTAAGTTCATTCTGTCAATTATAACAATTTATCTTCCAGGTGATATTCACACAGTTCCAGTATAGCGACCAGTCCGCGTTGCCACCTGATGCACTGAGGAAGGCGCTGGCACAGAACTTCTCCAATGAACAGAGGTTTCAGCTAGGTCACATGGATGATGCTGCAGAATGCTTCGTAAGTTGTTGCACATTGCATTTCGTAGCATTAAATCTCTGTTTTTGTAACATTGTCTTTCACAGACTGAGACATGTTGAGAAATTTTATGATGCCTTTGATGTATTTGTTGTGTTGAGGTAAAAGGATCGAAATCTAATGACAAATGCCAGAAATTTTGAAAGCCCCGTCTATCTTGGGCTTCGTTCACATGCAATGTCTATTTTCTATTTTCTATTTTCTATTTTCGGTATGTCTTATGATCACGGTCTGTGCACTGAATATCCCGCCGCGTAATTACTGGCAGCGCGAGCCAGTTACTTATAGTAACTTATAGTAACTGGCTCGCGCTGCCAGTAATTACGCCGCGGGATATTCAGTGCACAGACCGTGATCATAAGACATACCGAAAATAGAAAATAGAAAATAGACATTGCATGTGAACGAAGCCTTGATCTGTCACGTTACAGATTGCCCGACATGAATTGAGCATTTTGTTAATCCACCTTACCTAAATTATGATGTAAATCATTGATCTCTGCTGGTTTATTATGCTAACTTGCTGGTTAAGGTGTTGTATAAAATGAGGTGTTTACAGTAATGTGCTTGTCAATCATTGCTGTATTATGACTTGTTATGGGAATATTTCTAGAATCATACTTCACCAGGTGTTATCAAGTTGCCTGTTGTTGTCTGTCAGGTTGAGTGATTATAGCTGATATGAATAAGGATTTATTGTTGCTACAAAACAACGTTATATCAGAATTGTCTATACTTCTTTATATAAGCAGGAAGCAAAAGGCTTTTGTTGTCTAAATCGAATGTAAAAAAAAAAAAAAAAAAAATGCTGTAAATCTTTGCCACTTTTCAGCATGGTTCTTCATAAACAAAGTTGTTTTTAACTGTTGTTTATTCAGTTAATATGTCGAGATATGAAAGAGGAGCATGCAATCTGGATATCAGGGCAGGTAAATCACAGCTGCCAGTTGTTTGTCCTGTTTGGTATCAGCAGGTTTGATCTGCTTTATTTGCCCATTAGTTCCAATCTCTCGTCAGGATCTGTGTAGCTGTCCCATTACTGATAGACATCTATGTAACATGTATGTAGTACGAACTTGTATGCATATCAAAAAAGTTTTAAAAGGTTTCGTGTAGAAAAATTGTCAAAAAGAGATGACAGGATAAAGAAAGCTTTTGGCTAGAAAAACATCTATCATGTGACAGCCTTGCTTTTATTTCTGGTGATTTTTTTCTGTAGTTTTAAGACTGGCACTTTCGGCCTATCATGGTTAGTTTAATATTGGACACTGGGGGATTTTCTGTGACAAATGAGATCTGATTTTGTAAATGTCAATTTTCTGCTGCATTGGGGTTATTCCATCCACGCTGTTTCAGTGTTTCAGTAAAAATAACTGAAACTTGAGCTGCGTTAGAGATCAGGTCACATGAAAGTCTAACAATATTAAGAAATATTTGAAAAAATGTCAGTGTCAAACTTCACTTTTGGTGGATCAAAACAATCTGTGTTTTAGGGTGATAATGTCAAATAAAAATAGAAAACTATGTTAATCTGAAACCCAGCAGATGGAATATTGCGTTTTTTTTTCTTTGTGGTTCAATCTTTTTTTGCATTGTGTGATAATTTGAGGGAAATCTGAGATTTATTAGGCTTCATTGTTGCCTTGGTAACAGAAAAACATTCAGTCTGCAATTTTTCTACATTAATTGTGTATGAGCCTAGTTTATTCACGTAAAGCAAGGTACTAAAAAACTGTTTTTTAAGTCTTCCTGACAGTATCGATTCAATACTATTTTCAGGAAGCTTTGGCACACCATAATTGCTTTAATGTCTGAATGCCTTGCGTAATCTTGCAGTTCAGTTTCTTGTTTTGTTGTATTTTNCTCTCTCTCTCTCTCTCTCTCTCTCTCTCTCTCTCTCTCTCTCTCACAGAAGTGGACTGAGATAAGGAAACAACATAAAAAAAGAGAGCCACAGACTCTCTCCTTAATCTCTCAATGAAGACATCATTACCTGTTCTTCAGTAATTCCCTCAGACACGTGGAGTGCTGTAAGACATTGATGAGGAATTTATGTGTTAGCTAACCAGATGCTGATCATATTAATTTCTAGTGTAATAGCGTGTAAACAGCTGATGATGAGACGTTGAGTGGCAGAAGGCTGGCAGACGGCTGCCATAGGCAGACATTGATGAGGGGTGGGGTCAAATAGCCAGCAATAAAGTGTTTAATGTTTGGACATCTCAGTAAAAAGGCTCATAATTTTTTGAGAAGTTAAAATTTGCGAGTTGTTGATGGTGAAGGCGGTAGTTTATTTTTACCATTTCTGGTGCATTCATTAGTTTTGATGTGCTTTAATTAAAAATTGATATATTTTGAATGCAATCTATGTTGAAATCAGAGAAAAGCATAAATTTCCCCATTAGAGGATGAATGAAGTATCTAGGTTCATCTAATGCCAAGAATTTATGACAATAAATTTGCTAGCTAGGATGTTAGATTTCACATCTGTGAGGGAAAAAACCTGGCCGTTAAAATGTTCTGCATGTGTGAAAGGTTAAAAAAGAAAAAAAAAAGAAAATGCTCTGAACTAGAAGGAAAAAAACATCCGTTAGCTGGTGAAGATGTTACGCTGATTGTTTGTGATGTTAACCTAGAGGGCAAGGTGCACTTTTTCTTTTAGAGGTGAGAGAGAAAATGATCTCTCTTGCAGCTGTTTCACTCCCATTACATGCTAGTAGTGACTAGATAGAATGTTTGAGAGCAAGAAGTCAGACCACCAACCAACTCGTAATTCTGAAATCGTGCTGAGATGTTTAGATGTAGAGTAGATGTTTGGGTTAATGAAATTTATTTTTTGTTTGCTTGAATGTTTTGTAGTTTGTTTACTGATATGTCCGTCTGTCTGTTTTTGAATCATTCATTTTTTTAAATTTCTGCAAACAGTTTCCAAATTGTATTTAATTTTGCTATAAAGCTAGGACTTGGATAATACATTTTGGGTATTTAGTTAAAACTTGAAAAAGTGTACTACCATGGGTCCAGGCTATGTAGTATTCCTGAAAGCTAGAAGCAAGACCACCAACTCTGCCCTAAGTGTACTATCTGAATGTCTTGCTGAGAGATATGGACAAGTAGATTCCATGCTGGGAATAGAAGTAGCAAGGCAGAGTCTCAGGGAATAGCTATGTTATGGGTCATTTTAGCATTTTGTTTATTTCCATTAAGGAGTCCAGTGGATTCTGATTGCTTATGTTTCTATTTTTTGTAGGGTTGAAGTGGCTAGTCTTATTTGGAGAATATCATGATAAGCAGGCTTGAAATTTAGAGCTCTCAGTTATCCTCAGACTGGGTTCCCATACTTAGATCGATCCCACAGGATCGATCCATCTCTAAGGGGTTTCTCTCTAAATTGCTTTCAGCTTAGGTGGGCTTAGATGTCTCACTGGCACACTTACTGAAGCTGCTAAACAATGCAATTTAGTGAGAATCCCCTAGGAGATAGATTGATCCACAGTTAGTACAATAGAGTCTGGGAATGGTCAGTCATTAGGTGTTAAATAGTTGATTAAATTTTGTATTTTGTGTTTCTGTTGTGTTTCTGAGAATAAAGGTTTTATGAGAGAGCCCTTGACCCTAAATGAGAAATATGAATTTTACGCAATGGTTTTTACTCACCAAGTAACTAATTAAACTTCAGCCTAAAAAGAATTTGAGTTTTATTTTACATGTTCATTTTACTTTATTGACATAAGTAAATTAAATGTATATCTTGTCTTGTTTTTCATACAGTGATTTAACAGTTTTACATGTTGATATTTTACAGGAGAACATCCTGACTCGTATCCATAGACACATAGCCCAGGATGAGAATGAAGATATGTGTAATGCACAGCACTGTATAACCCACCAGAAATTTGCTATGACTGTGGTAGAACAGGTAAGCCAAGACCAGTAGTGCTTGTAGATTAAAGAAAATATTTAAGAAAAATAAAGGAAGTGTTGGCACAACATTTTCTAAGACAAAAGTATATGAATCAGTAAAAGTAAGTTTCTGAAACCCTTCACAGCCTTTCATCTTTGAACAAAATTTTCAAAGAAAAGGTCACTATGACAGAATTGAAATTAGTAGTATTTTCTAAACATGTGCTGGGATGCCATGCTTGGCAGAATTTTAAAAAAATACCAGATCTAGTAATACAGGTTGAGTCATTCTGTTTTTCTGCAGAAATTCCAGGGATTTTGTTGTAGCTTCTCTCATTTCTGCAGCCTTAAAACTATGATAGTCTTTGAATCAGCAGGTCTGTAAGATGTATCTGATATTGTATGTATGTAAGCTATTTGAGCAACCTATAGGTGAGATGGTAGATATACTTGGTATTCCTTTCATACTTGGCTCCTCCTTTACTCTGTAAATTTGCGGAAACATCTGGGATTCTTAGAAGTTTACTACTGAGAAGTGATGATCTGAAGTTAGTGAAAGTAGTCCCAGGACAGTGGTGACCTCTATTGGACTGACCTGTTAGAGAAAATATATTTTAGTTCAGTTTGTCCTCAGAGAAAAAAAATATTCGCACTTATATGAACCTATATGGTGAAGGAATCCATTGTTATGTGTTCAGGAGATAATAGTTGTATTTTGGTAAGTTTCTATGAAAGTATGTTGCTCATAAAATTTACAGGGATGTGCTTTTTGCATAATTTTCTATGGAAATATGTGTATTGCTTATTATTATTATTATTTTTATTATTAATTCAGAAAAATAAAGTATATGAATTCGCTTTATTCCAGGTTGTGTGTAACAAGTGTGGGGCCACCTCAGAACCTCATCCCTTTAGTCAGATGGTTCACTATGTGTCTACAAGTGCCTTAGCGTAAGTCATGGGGATGCGTGCACGTGTGTGTGCGTGTGTATGTGTGTACGCATACATACACACACGCACACGTGTGTGTGCGTGTGTATGTGTGTATGTATGCGTGCGTGCATTTGCCTAGTCACATACACAGATGGTTTTACTCGTGTATAGATATTCAGATGTGTTTCTACCGAAACCTTTGGAATAACTACTGAATGCCTTCTTGCATGCATATGATCATTAATATGTGTGGCTATTTTTGTTTGGGTGTGTGTGATTGCCGTGTGTCAGACATGTATAATGTGAATACAGAGGAAAGAGTGAACAAAAAGAACTTTCCAGTTTGTCAGCACACCGACTCGTACAGATTTTCAACAGCCACTTTGAAACTATTGTTTGGTAGCAGTCTTGATAGATGTCTACTGACAAATGTGACATATTGTGGTGAATCATGCACGAGTCTATTAGAAACTCAGCACCTGTGCCTCCCACATAAAACCTGTGTTGGAATCATTATTTATTGAGATGCATTTTGTTCCTTTCCTAGAATGCTTAATAATGTCAAAAAATTGCTTTGAATGGTCCTTTGAATGGTCTTTTCATTGACAAAGAAACAATGAACTGTGGCAACACATTTAAAACATATTGAGTAGACATGTTTTCATGTAACTTACATAGAGTACACACCTGGTGCTTACATAGAGCACACGCCATCAGGCAGCAAGAAAACAATAACACTAGTGATTAGTCAAAATTTTGAGGTCTGTGATTTGATATCTTTGACTAGGTTATTGTTTAGACAGATACAATTGTGTTTGGCTTGATAATTGAACTGTTTAGTTTATACTGAAATTCTATCTCTGTGCCTATATTAGGGCTATTCCTATTGTTTATAGAGAGGAAATTAATGTATTTAGCTTCCTGAGGGTGAAGAAATAACAGGAAAACCAGAAGTTATTACTGGTTAATTTAGATGGCAGAAATATGATATATTTGGCATTGTTTATTATCAGATTGATACCTTATTCAGGTTTGATCTGTGTGTTGACAGTCAGTGGTATTAATTCATTATTGATTCATTAATGATAATCTTCTTGTTCACAATTATTTATTTTAGATTAATTGACTGAAGAAAATTTCAGTTCATACCAAAAAGCCAAACTGTTGATTTAAAGGTTGCAAAAAGTAATTTCATGTAACCTGAGGTTGTTCATTAATGTTGTAAAGTCTTAAAAGTGGACAGTATTTCTTAGATAAAAATTATTTTAAAAAATGGAAACAAAATTACATAAAATAAAAAAATAAAAAAAACTTCACAGTTAACAAAACTAAAAACATTTTGCACACATTTTTCACACGAATCCCTGGTTTGTGTAGATGTCTAGACATGTTAGGGTGCACACTGGAAGGCTGTGGCATGTGGGCTTTATTGCACCTCCTTTCCACTGCCAGTCAGGATGAAATACCAGTGGGTTATGTAAGGTTACACATCTGTAACTGGGAAGTGATTTCGAAAAATAAATGTCTCGTTGCAGATGGTTGCAACTTCAGTATTGCATGTGGTTTGATAAATTGTCTGTAGAGTGTTTTATGGTGTATTGCTAGTAGCCAGGTTTGTTTTTTGGAGTGTGAGAGAGAGGTTCATTTATGTTCATCTTCATGCATATTTATATTTTAAGTATTATCTATTGATTGAAATAAATATGCAACCAATTTTACTCATGATAAAGAAGATTTTCAGTGACTGTTCCCTTCCATAATTATCATCTCGCTAAGGTATTCACTAAAAAAATGTTATTAAACTAGTTGTGCTTATGGCCATACCCTCAACTTTTTACACCCTTTGAAGTATTTTAAATGTTACTACTTTAGTGGTGTAACTCTCACACAAACATACAGAAAAGGTAGATAAATAAAAAACTATTGCAAGGCTTTCTATAATTTCCTCCTGCAGGTGGCATACCCAGCGTATGGTCAAGGATGGGCTGCCAGCAGAGGATGTCCACAGAGCCTTCAGCTTACTACTGAGAAATGCCTCATCTGAGGGTGACATGAGGAGTTGTCCAGTGAGTATGATTTACTGGTTATTTGGTCTCTTAAATATGGACTATTATTACAGGGGCTCAAAATCTATTCCTTATTATTGTGAATAAGATGTTTATCAGTGAATTGAAATGACACACATTCACATGAAAAACAACACCAGTTGTGGTAAAAAGGGCAATTTTAAGCTTCGGTGGACTTGCTGTTTAGAAAAAGTATTCCTGGGAAACCCGACTCTGAAGTCCTGGGCTGTTGCTTATAGTGAATTTGGTTACACTCTTTTCTCTCTCTCCGAGTTTTGGTTCTTAAATGAGATTCAGTTAATTGTGCACATTGATTTAGTTCAATAGTAGTTGCCAGATATTGTTTTAGGGAGTTAAACTGGTCTTAATTTCCAGGAAGATCATTACTAATGAGATTAATTTTATGCAGCTCCCACCTATCATTTATTACTCTGTTTGGGTCTAATGTGTGAACAGAGCCCTATATAGCACAGCTGTTTTGGGAGGAGAGGAAGTACGAGAGAAGAGAAACCTCTCATCCAGAAAATGACTGGTGTCACATTTCTCATCCACAATTGCCTCCGAGGCTAAGGTCTCTCTTAATTAAATTGGAGTGTTTATATTTGGTAATAGTTGTAAGGAGTTGCAGTTTTTGTGCCTCACTTACTGTCAATTACAAGACAGGAAGTCTGGAGATCATTTTACCAACACACTTGGCTTAGGATGTCACTGAATATGACTAAAAATAAACCTTTTTAAAAGTTATTATTTAACTTTACCTTTTGACTGACTTTGATCGATGAATTTTTTCAGAGTGACTGTGGTGAGAGAATACCAATCCGCAAGAATCTAATTAACTGTCCTGATGTTGGTAAGTAGACAGGTGATATCCTGCTGAATTATGACAGTGGTATAGCCTGCTTGTTAGAATACATGTATGATGATATTAATTAATTTATTTATTTGCATTTGATAAATAAGTATTCCATTCTTTCTGGTAACTAGTACATTGTTATAAATTGCAAATTTCATTACGCTGAAAAGACACGTAAATGTATAGTGTTCCCTATTTTTTCAGCTTGATAAAATCTGATTGTACCTCAAAATGCAATGTCTTTTTGTTTCAGTGAGTATTGGCCTAATTTGGGACTCAGATCGTCCAGACTCTGACCACATTACACAGGTCAATCGCTGCATTGGAAAGAATATAGTGCTCTATCATGTAAGTAGTAATCTGCTCATCCTGTGTAAGATGTGCTTTGTGGAAATCTGTGTGACTCTCCAGAAATTTGTTAAATTATTTAATTGCTGAAAAAAAAAATTAACTTTGGAAAAAGTAAATGTAATAATATCTTTATGTAATTAAAAACCTTGAGTGATTTGAGGTTGGTTGGTAATTTGAGGTGTCTGTTGTGAAAAATTGCATCTTGTGTAATTCTGTGTTTTTTGGTATATTTCAGTTGTTTCACCTAGCAGACACTAGGGCCAGTACCTTAGAACTGAGGGGTGTGGTCTGTTACTATGGCAAACACTACTCTACATTCTTCTTCACAAAGAAAGGCATCTGGATCTACTTTGATGATGCCACCGTAAGAGAGATAGGACCTGATTGGTCCAGGGTGGTGGATAAGATGTGTCGAGGCCGATATCAGCCACTCCTGTTGTTGTATACAAACCCCAATGCCACAGCAATTGATACTGATACTGCACTGCAAAAGACTACCATGGTACCAGGACATGAACCGTTTAACTGGCCAGGTAGTCCTGGCAACCCTGCTAACACAGGAAATCAAGGTATTACTAAAAGAAATCAAAAATGAGACTGTTTCAGTGACAGTATTGTTTAATGTGTACATTTTCATTTTGATGACTATATAATGTAATATTATTTGTGGCAAGTTTTAAAAAAAATGCCACAAATTATAGAAATAACTCATTTAGTGAAAACGTTGTAGCAAGGTTGTTAACAAAACACCACAAATTATAAAAATTCATTGTTTAACAAAGGCATTGACTCATAGAACATTTTGAGAAAAATGACAAAATATTTCAACATGATATCAAATTTTGCAATATTGTGTTTTAGGTCCTGCATCTGTAGACTCCCGGAATTCCACACAGTCTCATAGCCGCCCTGCCCCACGAGCTGGACAATATCGCAGAACAAGGGAAATGCCCCCATCTGCAACGCTACGCAGGGCGGTTACACCTAACCCAGAATCTCAACAGCAGAGAGAAGAGTTCACAGTGGAACCACGGCGTGCTGTCACTCCAACGCCAGAGTGGCATGCCTATGACAGCGATGAGGATTCAGCCAATAAGAAACAGCTGGCAGTTGACCACAGGAGACAGTCGAGTTATTTGATAGCAGTGACTGGTTTACCAGAGGATGAGAAAACAGATACTAAAGGTCACAATGCTCAGACTGATTTGATTAATAAAGTGGCTCCACCTATGGTTCAGAACTCTGGTGATGTGCCAAATTCAAATTCAGGTGCTGATGAAGTGGACAATTGGACATTATCTACACAGGGACAGTACAGGAGACCTAACGCTCCTCAGCTGTCGCCAAACTCCACCTCTGCTTTCAGTGCTCCAATCTTTAGCAAGCAGGGGCCACAGAAACGTGACAGTGGAAAGAAAGGACGCCCAAAACTGGGGGCAGATATTATAAGGTACCAGTCCAATTCTGACACATCCCCATCTCCCAATGGTCTACAGACTGATGGATTTGAATTCGGCCAGTCAGGTTCAAAACCAGGATCTGAATACATAGCAGGGTTCGACTTTTCTAGAGACATGGAGGACCAAATAAAAATGGAGCCTCTTCCTGAACATATCGTGGTCAACCCAAACCCATATCCACATACTGTTAAACGTGCTGTGTCAGTAGATGAGAGACTTGGTGGGGACATCACATCAGATAAACCTCAACAACAGGTGGCAGCAGCTCACAAGAAGCGCCCCCATAGTGCTCGCTCCGGCAGAACCAAAGAGCTGCTGGACCAAGGCTATGGTTCCTTGCCCCGTAAGAGCACAAGACATCAAACAATATCCAACCCGTACTACCCCCAGGAGTACCTCAATCAGAATCAAATTCATGAGATGCTCCATGGCAAAGGAGTAGAGGGCACCACAGAGCCCCTGCCGAAGAAAACCATGTCCAGATACAACTCCGAAAGTAGAATTGATGCCAAGTACACTGCTAAGGGAGAAGATGTGTCAGATAACAACTACATCAGTCGACGGGCAGTGGAGAGTATTCTCAATAAACAGAAGATTATTCGTCAGAATTCATCCAGCAGTGCCAGCAGTGGTGTTCCTACACCAGTTCTCCCAAGAAAGGACCTTGCAGGGGAAGGTGAAAGAGACGGCTTCTGCCTGCCATTGAACAAACCTGCCCTGAAAGTGGACATACCTGATAATGTGTCCAGAGACTCTGGCTACAGTGGAGATAGGGCAAGTTCCGCCAGTAGCACCTCCGCAGACTCTCCCCTCTTGGATCCACGCCACACAAATGGTGCATTCTTTGGTCGCACACATGGACCTATGCTGGGAGGGAAGAGCTCACACGGAGGACAGTATGATGGAAAGTCGTCTTCTGAAAGTCTAAATTCCAACCAGGGGAACAATGGAAACATTCAGCAATTTAAGACGGATCGTAACTTGACCCAGATTCCAGAGAACATCGCTACATTTCAGGCTCCCAAGGCAACTGCTTTCTTTAAGGAGAAGTTGAGAGAATCTTCCAAGCAAGGTTAGCAACTTATAGAATGATGAGGCCTTTCTTTATGATTTCTTTGGTATATTCCATAGAAAAATTGAATGATACTATGCAATAGGAGTGTTTCACATGTTTTCATTGGTTAAGTTCAAATTTGAAAGAGTGGGCTTAAATCTCCCTCTAAGTTAGATAAAATTTGTATGTATTTACTGTTTACTAGTACTGTTTGTTTATTTTCATCTTTTGATTTTTTTTTTCAATTTTAGGAAGCAAACCTGAATCAACAGAGATCAATGTAACCAAGAAAGGACCAATGAGAATCCAGAAGGAATATGAAGGCGATGAACCAGATGGTGGTGAGTATTTGTCAGGCTGACACAGCAAGAATAATAATTTAATTACTTAACTCTCATTAGATTATGTAAAAACTTAACTCATGTTGAATACCATCAGAAATTTTGGAAATAGGTGTGAACTTTCATTAATTTTAGTTGGACTCGTAACAAACATACATCAAACTGTCTTCGCCATGGTAATACAATGTTTTTGAGGTGTTAGTACAAATTCTTAATGTGGTATAATTGCATTTGTTTTAGCTGAAACCTTTGAGAAGCTATGTTTGAAGGCAGAAGAACTTGAGAATGAATCATTTGAGAAGGAAAGACGAGGGGATCTTCACATGTCAATGTGGCTGTGTACCCAGGCTACAGGTAAAGACCTCTCCATCATGATGTGAACAATATATTGCTTAAATTTAACAATAAAAAATACTCCTTTCCACGCATTATTTTTGCATCAAAGATGATAGTGATATTAGGAAGCACCTTGAAGTGTGATGTGAGAAGCTGATATATTAAACTATCATTGGAAATTTCATGTTTTTTTTCCAGCATACTTCAAGAAAGCCATGAATGCCCCAGGTGCCAGTCAGCACTCCATGGTGCATGCTCAGAAGAAACACAGTACGTGTGTGCTCCGGTCGCGCAGTCTGCACAGGCGTATCATGAGCAGGCAGACATCTGCACAGTCAACATGTAGTGAAGTCAGCAGTGAGGATCATATCAGGTATGAAATAGTGCCAGCTGTCCACATGATATGAGTGACTTGGTACAAAACAAAATACACTCAACTAATGAATTGATAGCCAAATAAGATAGGTCAGTCTCAGATCAGGGATTTAGAGACTGGATCAGGATTGAATATAAAATGTTCTCAAGAACTCAGCTTTGGTGTTGAAATGGTTTAGAACAGCTTTTTTATGTAGCAAATCTTATCTGTTGAAATTTATATTGAACAGTGTCTAGAGGGCTTTGTCTGAGAACGAGAAGAATTTGGCAAACCGATTTTGAAAAAAAATTAATTGATTTAGTAGGTTTTTCCTGGTAACTGTTTGAAATCTAATTGAGACAATATTTGTATGCACCATCCCTTGTTGTTCCAGCATTAGCTCCCTTAGCACTACAGACACCGACACCAAAGACCTGGATTCCCCTCCAGTACGAGATGAACTCCAGATGCAATCTAGAGAGATCCCAAGGCAGACTTCTGCGCCAGATCTGCAATCCACGAGACACAGGGGTGACGGAGGTCATCGACACAGGTCAGAGGGCATGCATCGCAGTCACAGTGTTCATGGGAGAATGGCAGCACCACCTATAGATAGTAATATTGCCCAGCAACCGAGAAAGCCATTGCCTAGCTACCAGGAGGTCATGTTCAGGAGGTCCACCAGTGTGTCTGAGGCGCAGCACAGGGGACAGTCTGAGATCCCACACTCTAAATCATCAGATGGTGTCTCCAATTCAGCAGTCAATGATGCTGAACGTGGCATCCAGCTGTATGGGACTTTACCAAAGAAATCAAAGCAGAAAGCTGGCCCTGTTGCAGCATCAGCAGCACCAGTGGGTGAGCAGGGACGTGGCGCTAACAGAGAGGCAGAGATTTATCAGGACTACTTAAGCAAACAAAAGGTTGTTCAGTCTCAGCAGCAGCAACAACAACTGGTGCCCCCACCAGGAGACCAATTTGATAGGATCTCTATAACAAGCAGCCAGACAGTACCCACAAGTCTGGGACCTACCACACAGAGTCAGAGTAAGATGACCAAGGAGGAAATACGAAGACTGCTACAACAGAATATGATAGAAAAACAAAGGTCCAGATCATCGGATGGTCAAGGTATGCACAGCAGACAGAGTTCAACTTTATCAACACATTCCAATTTAAGTGATGTTTCCTCATCCAAGTACAGCATATCATTAAGTCATAGTCAACAACCTCAGCATCCTATGGGACCACCATCACAGACACAGGGGAAACAGCTTATTCCACCTGTAGCAACACAACAAATGCAGTATCCCCAGTCTATACAGCACCAGCAGCCTCCTGTCAATAATAAACGTCAACAGCAGCAGTCAAGACATCCACAAGTACAGCCTTCAGTTTCACAACCACAGTCGAGGCAGCAACAGTCAGTAGTACCACCACAGCCATCATCATCCACTCACCCACCACAGCAACAATCTACCAGAATACCAAGGCATGCTCCTGAGAAGATTTACGCTGTGCCAAATTCTCGCCCCGTCATTCCAAATCACAATCCACTCCAACAGGGACCAACACAGGGAGTCAAGGTACCACAGGGTCAGCATCCCCAAGGTGTACCCCAGGGACCCTCCCAGCACCCCCATCAGGGTTCTAAGTTAGATTTTAAGGAAAGTCATTATGCTGTGCCCAGAGTCCAGCCTGATGCTAACAGCACTACTGGGCAAATTAAGAAGATCAACGGTCCAACTAGACCTAGTGGTCAAGTTATGATGAATGGCCCTACAAACTCCAGTGGTCAGATACCTAGTGGACTAGAAATGTCCAATGGTCCAGTGATTAATGGCCAAGGAATTCCCAGTAAGTTGCGGCAACTGGAGCAGCAGAACCTGCAGTTATTTCAGAGTCAGCAGCAGTGGCAGGCTGCAAACACCAAACCTGCTCCAGTGAAACCTGCAGGGAAGAAGGTTCCACCACCACCTCCAGTCAGGAAGGACTCGGTCCTTAGCAGTCCCAAACCTGTCCAGAATACACAGAACAAAGGTAGGTTGCAGACTGGAGGATTGAAAAGTTGTTTAAGGGCAGTAAGCTACAATGTATGAGGTTTCTGTGGAAAATGCTTGGGTGAATTTTCTCTCTGTACCAAAAAAAAATGCAGACCAATTAGTCTAAACGTCATGCAGTTTCAAAATTTGATTAACAGATTTATCCTTATGAAACTGAAATTGGTCTAATCCATGCTTTTTGTTTTCTATTCTTTTCATTTCCCTCTTTGCTGTACAGTCTTGGGAGCTCAAACAAAAGAACAAAAGGTAAGGTTTTTCTCAAATATTGGATTTGTTCACTGCTCCATAAAAACCCAAAGCATTAGATAGATGCAGTTAGTATTTTATCTTTGGGGAGATCAGAAAAAAATGTCCCATAAGTCATTCATTTAGTTTGTTCATATTACAGTTTTAATGGTAACTTTTATGTAATGCAGGTTATGAATATATAGTTGATGTGTAAAAACCAGAAAATATTGGATAAGTTTTATTTTTACAGGTTGATGCTAAGGCAACAAATGGTTCCAAGAACATGTTAGCACCATCAGTAGATGATTTGCCACTACCACCATACCCAGAAACCAATGTCACAAGTGGACCAAAACAAAATGGCCTCCACACTAGGGATGACTCGTACATTTTTGTTGAAAAGCCTTTGGAAATCAAACACAGCCGACAGAGGTCAGATCCAAGCTCTTTACAAAATGGACTACTTGATTTGGATCAGTTGGGAGTGAAAGACTTAGCAACTAAGTTTGAAACATTAAACACAGGTTTGGTCGATGCATCCAAGACATCAAATTCCACATCAAATAAGGGACCCTCACAGCGCAGACGTTCAACAGGGTCAAGGGCACAGAGGAAAAAAAGTGTCACGTTCTCCGAAAACATAATTCTCATTGGCGATCCTGATGAAAGTGAGGAAAGCTATGATAAGTTTATGCATGTGCTACATCAGACCCTTCAGAGGCGCGAGGCTAACAGCAGAGGGGCCCCTGTCAATGGGGGGATAGAAGACGCTATGGAGAACTGTGACGAGGATGATTTCGATGACGATTCTGTGGATAGTTTTGAAATGATTGATGCTCCTGCAGACAATGCTCTTGTGTGTAACTTGTGTAATATGAGACAGGTGGTTGAAGGGCAGACATACTGTCACCACTGTAGTTATTACATGGCTCAGTTTCAACCAAAAACGTAATGGCCGCAGTAATCTCTTTATAAAGTGATCTCATCAAATCCGTACCACACAAAAGATATTTCAGTAGTATTTGAGTCTCTGACTTAATAAAGCTTTTTTTTTATCAAGAAAAGGATGATAATTGATCATCATCTTTGAAGTACTTGCTTCCGCCGACTATGAACCAGCAGTGCAAAATAAGAGAGAGTTTTTCTTCAAAATTGAGGGTGTCAAGTGCTTAATAATGTAATGTAGATATTAGAAAGATATGTGACATGATATATAGGGGTTCAGAATATAATTTATATCTTAACTAAGTGGCTGCTGGCACTGCTACATTTGATATATTGTGCAAATCTGTATCCTGGATAACAATGGTTGTCACTGTTAAGGTGTGTTTTTTGTTTATATATAAACATCTTTTAAGATGTAAAACATATCAGATTTTCTCTCTTTTATACAGATGCATTATTTGTCTAAGAGGTTTTACACAGTTGTTAGTGTGTATTATCATTGCTATATAAACAAAGCGACATGTACATTTGGGTGAATGAGTGATTCATTATCAGCAAAAATAACTTGTGAAACAAGAGGTTTGTGTTGGTGAATGTTTGTTTATTGTTCTGACTATATATTTTCTCACAAATAAATGAAGCAATTGTGTATATAAACTAGGAGAATGTGATCGAAAAATCCACAGAACTGCTGTATGCATTTACTAGTGCAAGGATTTGTTGCTTTTTAGATGCTATTGAAGGTGCTTTGAGGGCAGTCTTTGGGAATGTATCTTCACTTGTGTGAGCTTTGAAACCCAAAGTATTAACTAGGACAAAACATTTTATAACTAAACAAATACCTAAAATTCACACAAATTTGCATGGAATCATGGTTGTGTTGTAAATATTATATACAAATTTAGTCCAAATTTATGAACTTGATGTATCATACTCCTACCGCTGCAGTGATGCAGGAGAATCTCGATGTAACCAGAAATCACATACTTTATGGGCCTTTGGGCTGAAATAAAATATATACTATATATGACAATACGCTGCTTAATTTTTTTTAAGACCAAGGGTAGATGCCAAGGCAAAGACCAAGTTCTAGAAATTTTTCAAAAAAAAAAAAAAAATCTACCAGTAGCAAAATTTTAAGGATGCCAATTTTCATGAATACGTATGTTTTTAACAGTGGGGCTTTGCAAGTTGAGAAATTTGTGGTGTTCTGACTGAATTGTGGGTCCGTTTATGAAGTGTACGTTGTGTCACATCGGTATAAACAATGCCTGGCTGAGAAGAGCAACTTGCCCATTTCCCACTTAATAACTTGAAAACAAAACCAACAGTACACCAACAACTTGGGTCATTGAAAAATGCAAAGTAATTTATTATAATTCTAATGTTACCCACTGTATTATCCTATAATAATATAGGACAAGGGAAGAAGCACCATCTATTGCACAATATATGAACACAGTATCTGTACAACAATAAATATACTCTGCCTAAGACATAAACAGCTCAAAAATCATGAATTACCATGCTGGCATCAATAATTTTCATTAATGACACAATTATTTCAGTTTGGCTAAAGAAATCTAATATTTCATCATATAATATAGTTTGGTAGAAATTTAAGCCATATAACCAAAACAAATTATGTGCATAGACCAACACTGAGCCATGTCAGGTCAAAAAGTGGGAAGCTCATAAACTACCTCTTCTACCATAAATGTCTAAATTCGAATAATTATAATAAGTTAGTACAATACAACAATATTTCAATGGTCATAAATTAAAAAGTTAAAATCATATTTCATTTTACAAGACATTCAGGGGCTTCGATTTTTTTGAAGGCCTCCAATGAAATGGTAAAATTGCATCATTCTTGAGGATGGGATTTCTTGCACTGATCTAATGATTCAAAACTAAGCAGTCTATTTGATAAGTACTAACAGCCTTGAATAGCATCAAGTAACTTTTGAATGTAACAGGAGCTATACTTAAAACTTGGACTTACCTGCGGACTTATCTGCTGCCTTATTCATGTAACTATAAAAAGTTACCCATATGATAACTTGTGAAGGCTTTAACATGATATAGCATAATGATAAAGGTTCAAGATATCACAGTCAGAAGACCATCTTCAGCTTATAAATGAACATAAATGTCATGGAACAAATACAGCCAAGTTTTTTTAAACATGCCTGTTAACACATTTCATTCAAAAGATATTCCTTGAACTGAACTGTTTTTATTCTAAACATTCAGGGTCCTGGGATCCCAGCAAAAATATGTAAAATGAGCAAAATGTCCATCAGTTTTTCAAAACTTGACAGCATATTTACTTTCATCATTTAAGCCATACAGACTGTTCTCTGTTAAAATTTTCACCAATTCATCAAAACTTGAGCCTGATAAAATGATAATTTCTCTGGGAGCAATGGTCACTGTCATCTTGTCTTTGACAAAACAAACTGATGGCATGTCACATTATGCTTGATGATTGGTGCAAACTGAATTGCTCTGTTCTCAATCCCTGGTTGGGGAGTGTAACGTCCCAGGAAACTAGTCCCAATCCCAGGCTGCTGGGTGTTGGGTCTTAAGAAACTAGTCCCAGTTCAAGGCTGATGGGTGTAGGTTCCTCGGGAACTAGTTCCCATCCCAGACTGGTGGGTGTAGGGTCCTAAGAAACTAGTCCCAGTCCAAAGCTGGTGGGTATAGGTTTCTAGGAGACCAATGCCAGGCTAGTGGGTGCAGGTTTCTAGGAGACCAATGCCAGGCTGGTGGGTATAGGTTTCTAGGAGACCAATGCCAGGCTGGTAGGTGTAAGTTTCTAGGAGACCAATCCCAGTCCTTGGTTTGGGGAGTGAATTCCAGCAACAGCCATAAGCAGTGGTAGGTCACTCACATCAACCCTGAAAAAGTAAAGAATAATTATTTTAAATGTATAACATTAAATGTATCAACTATTATGAGCTCAAACAAGAATGTTTTACAATGCCAAAAAATTATTTCCTTGATTACAAGTCAATAATAATTTTTTTTTCATCAAATTGCCATTCTTTTTTCCTTCACTGAGAAGTAATCTTTAATTTGGATCAAGCAAAAATGCATTAAGAATGACCATTTCAGTAAAGCCAAAGATCTAAAAAGACTATGTAATAAAGCAATATTCTACAAAAGTTCATACCCAAGTAGTGAGCATATTTCCTTGTTGCTGCCAATCTTTTCACATTGCAAATACTCTGCCAAGATGCCACTCTTAAAATAAATCTCTTGAAGTCGATCCTCCATATGCATCAAACACTGCAAAATAATAAAAAAGGGTTTTGATATTGTCACTTTGCTGTTTTTCAGCAACAAATACTGGAAACATCTATAGTGTAACAAGGTGTGTAACAGTTTTCTGGTGTACTAGCAACATGTCATGATCGCATTTGTAGGCCACATTCAACAGACATAGGTGACACACTTTAAAAAGAGTATTAGACAAGTGTGTTTACACAACTGCAAGATAAAACTTTGAAATATGACCCTTGTTTTTGGGCCCAGATGCACCAACATGACCGGAGAAGGACCACATTAGATATAATGAGATAGTTACTGAACAACGTATCTACGTACAAATTCTGGTGCCATCCTGAGTCTCCATAGATTCTGTACAGACTCCACCATATTGCAAACCAAAGGAGCTGGGTTGACCACCTCACCAAACTCTGACTTGTTGCGGGATGAAACAATCTCCACAGACCTATGATGAATGAAATGAAATAGAATAAGTAGTATTATATTGTGTAGGTGAAACAAATTATAAAAGAAGATATGATGAATGAACAAGAGACAGAAAAGATGAATAATAAGGCATAGAAAGACTTACGGAAAAAGAAAACGGCAAGGGATATGGGAAAAAGTTTTACAGAAACAAATCAAAAAAACTCAATCGAAATACATACTAGGCCAGTAACTCCATAAATTACATTTTCAAAACATTGAAATACAAAACTATAAACCTTACCAGTTAGATGTGTCAGCTACTATGGATACAGCTTCTGCCACTGGCTCATCCAATATAGAATACTGAAACAAAAAAAAAAAGAAAATATATTATTTCTTTTTCTGCAGAAAAAAAAATCCAGTACAATAACTTCTGAACACAGGAGTCTTTAATACATTAGAACTATGAATATTTTTTTTAAATAAAAGATAATGTATGTTTAAGTCAACTGTTATGTGACATGGGCTGAAACCATGCTCATGTTAAAGGGATAATAACTCTTCGTATGAGATCTATATTTCACAATAAAAACATTGTGAATAACTCATAGAAATAAAATATATTCTGTTTTACCACAAAAACGGCAGTTATAGCGATTATTCTGATATCTGAGCTTGTCTTTAGATCACGTGACCTCCACTGATGGCTATAGTCTGTTAAAATCTCTTAAGAGATTTTAACAAAAAACCAAACTTTTTAGAAAAAAACCAGGGACTAACTTTGAATGTAAAAATGGATTTATTAACCATTGGTAAGTATGGGAAAATTGTTGTTTACTCCAGGAAAATTCATTTTTTGGCCGAAACGAAGAGTTATTATACCTTTAATTCAACCGATTTTCTAACCTATCAAAATCAAGCACCTTTCTAAAGCTAGCAACAAAACTGAGTTTGTCGTGTTCCAATGAATCACATTACCTGCTCAGTCATGACCAAATCTTTTCTGAGGCGCTTTAAAAAGCTGGTGTCACTGGTGCCGTGAAGCACAAAGTCAGAGACGTAGTGGTCATTGTATCCGCCCAGCAGAGAGTGGCCAAAGTTACTGTCATACAGCTTGTTCTCTATCACCTGGGGACAGCTTGTAAAGCTGAAAAATATCAAATACAATGATTTATCAATCCAAACCAAACACTTTCTTTTACCTCCGATTAATAATCTGCAAATTTCTAATAATATAAATAGATAATAAAAAATATGTAATATATTCAATCTATGATATATTCGTAAGTTGTTTAGTTCCTACTGGTTTCTCTCACATAAATGAGATTACAAAGACCGTCTTCTAATTACTTGAAACATGTAGGCCTCCAACCTACTTAACATGTATACTGATATTTAAAGCTCACCTTGGTAATGGCAGCTCTTTCAGACTCTCAAAGTACTCCAGAGCATCATGTAGAGATGATGCCGTGCTCAGTTCAGACTGGTGGCGTCTACGACCTAGCTCTGTGGGTGTAACAGACCTGCATCTGGCTGGAGTGCTCCCCTTACTACTCACACTGTCACGGCGAGCACCATCACTTTTACTTCCAGCACTGAAGCTATCACTACGCAGAAATTCCATTTTACTGCTGGAGTTAAAACTGTCATGGCGAGATCGCTCATGTCCCTGGTCTGCTTCAGCTGTATTATTTTTATTTATGACCAATTTACTTGGGCGGTTGGGCCTACTTTGTATTCCCTTGGTGTGCTCCAATTTGGAGTCTTTCTCAACAAGTGATATTTTCCCATGTTCTTCCTCATATGCAGAGTCTATTGAAGTCCTGTGATTAGTTGTATCAGCTTTGGCAAGGCGATCTCTAACCTCAAGCTCGTCAATGGTTTTCACTTCACTGTCACCCAGAAAGTATTCATCAAACATGGTACTGCTGTCCATGGAGGGCTGCCTGAAGTACACATGCTTTCCATGGTGTTGACACTGCAGGGCCACAGTGGGCGACAGCTGATTGTTACGAATACAGGCCTTACAAGAAGTCAAAAGATGCTGCTGTGGAAGCTGTGCAGCTTTACATGAGGCATCCCAAGTTCCAACATGCTCTTTGTATTCAGCGCACATTTCTGATGATTTAGACTTAAACAAGCCAGCATTGTTAATTGTCTGATGGTCATCTAATTTCAAATCTGACACTGAACGTCCCACGTGCCTAATTCTTTCCACAGCTGGTTCTTGGATTGAATCGACTGCCAGCTGGCAAGTAGAGGCCTGGGAGGTACTGCTGTTGTTGGAGCTGTCCGAATGGCTGCGCTCATGAAAAAGCACTGGTACCTGACTGCTGCTAGGTATTTTATTATCCTGAGCATCTTTGTCTGTTAATGATACTGTCCTCCTGTTGGCATCAATGATTGTAACTGATGTTTTATCCCCGAGTTCTTTTCTTGTAGCTGCATTCTTCTCATTGTTTAATATCCTACTACTGAAGACATCAGAATGGGTTCTTTCTGTGTTAAAGTTTGTTTTGGCACTGCTGAATGAGAGGTGTTGTTTTTTCTCAATCTTCTGTATTTCTGACATGTTACTATGGTGAGACAGAGAAGGTGCTTTTCCTTGTGCTATGCTGGCATTTTTCTCTTCTCCCCCTCTTACTAATTCATTAAAATTACTTACTGCCTCTGTCTGATCAGTCAGTGGCAGACTTGAAAGTGAACCCAAACTGAAATCTAGACTAGAACATTCATCAGCTACATCTTCAATTTTAGAACTGTTCTGTCTGTTGAAGAGTGCCATCTCTGGATGCCTCCCTCTTACAGAAGGTTCTGAACTTAACGTAGAGTCAAAACTTGTGAACACGGCACTGTCTAATGAATCCAGCTGTAAACATAGATCACCATGAAGTCTTGGCACTGGCTCAGTCTCATGTACTGACCTGTCTTGCAAACCAGGGGATCTGCACTCTAACTCCCTCTGGTGTTCAGTTTGTGAGGTACTGCCCTCTTCAATGTCCACAAAATCCACCTCAAGGGGTTCCCAGCTGTGCTCCCCACTTTCATGGACCTCACTGCAGCGTATGAAGTAGGTCAGGACAAATAACAATTTACGGACCAAATCTGCTTTCTTGCCTACTACTATAGTCCTGGCTAGCTTGAGTGGGAAACCAATGGCACCATATAAATCTCTGAAGAAATTCATATTTGTACATCAGACAGAGAAATAAAGTGAACACATTAAAATAATTTTTAAATAGAGTGGAGAACATAATAGCAGAAAATATTGAATAAATTTAAGCAATTCATATTTTGACTAAATTTTCTAAATTAAAAAAAAAAAAAAAAAAAAAAAAAAAAAAAAAAAAAAAAAAAAAAAACCTGCTGAGATAAACAGCCATCAACACTGATCGTGCAAGTAAATTAACAGGAAAGCAGCTGTAAAATGAGGTCTCAGTAATTTATTGACTAAGCAGAACTGACAAACACTTACCCTAACTGTGCCCAGAGAGGATTGTAAGGATGGGTTCTGGCCAGGGTGTCCAACTGAAAAAAAAGGCAGTACTTACATGTCATAGATCAAGAATATTGTTGGTTCAAAGAGCTTGTCAAAAATTACTGTGATTTCTAATTATCAATTTGTGGTGAGTTTTGGTGCCTACGTTTTTCCAACAAGAATATTGTTTGAGTCAGTGTTTAAGTTTTAAGTACTCCAATTTCACATGCATTAGATTTCACATCAGAGAAGTTTAAACCTTACCCATTTAGCAGAATGTTTGTCTAGATATGTTCTGGATGGAGTTGCCCCAGCAGGCGTCACTGTAGGGACCCAGGCAAGGTGATGAGTTAAAACAGCAGTGATAAGACTGCTTAGGAAACTGAAACAAGACACACATAAGTCTACGTACAGTTTATTCTTATATCTCCACAACTAAGATGTGGACATGTTTTTGTGATTTTGTTTACTTTTTGACAAATAAAATCTATAAATCAAATAAACTTTGTCTTGTTCAAAACAACACAGATGCAAGCACGCATGTACACAAGCTAAAATTACAATATATTTTTAGCCAACAATTCATTACTCACAAACTAGTATTCTTTGTGTCATATTTCTCCACCAGTGACATGAACTCTCCAAGGAATTTCTGACTAAGGATTGCATGTCTGTAACTGTTGGTTGCCATCATTGTTAGCCAGACAGGCTCACAAATTCTAGGTGCTGTGTACAAGTCTAAAATCTCTTGACGGAAAGTAGCAAAGGCCTAGAAATAAAGCAAATATGTGGTTAGTAACAAGAATCTAATAATTTATTTGTCTGCTCAGATACACACAAATGGACAACTATTATGTTATATTATGTTATATTATATTATGTGGTATTGTGTTGTATCCTATCGTATCATATTATTCTAACATCCAAAAGAAGGCGTTACTCCTACTGATAATCACGATCTTATACACTGACTAAATAAACAGGAGTCAATTTTTAAATAGTAACTCCCCTACCTTTTACAAGACCCAAATCCACTCACCTCATAGACCAAGTGCACAAAGTTCCTTTTATCCATACACGCTCTCTCCACAGCAGCCTTGAGCTTGTTGACATTCCCTTCTAACAGTGCTATGTGGGAGAAAAAGAAACTCTGGAACTGCCTGGAAATTTGAGAGGTAGAGCATTTTAAAAATATTGGACATAGTACATTGATTTTTTACTTCAGAGTGCATTTAAGACATGACTGTTACTTACATTATCTCTTCTTCCTGCCCAGTCAGGTTGAACACAACTGCCATGCCCAGCTTAGCTTTTCTTCTTGATGTTGGAAGTGAACCCTGTAAATGAAATGCAATCATGTACCTGATATTGTATTTTTTTATCTATAGTGTAAAATTATGAAAAATTTGGAAACCTTATCACATTTTATCAATCATCTAAAAACATATCAAAATGATGTTATTTCATCTGATAGAACATTGAATTGCGCCCAGTATGTATAAGTAAATCAGCCTTAAATATTGGAAGAATAATAACTCACTTCATTCAGCTGTGCAGTGAATTCCCCAGAGTGCCTGCGCATGAGTCCATAGTCAAGTCGCATGCTCTGTGCACGCATCCAGCGTTTGTGCATGCTGTTATAGCTGTTAGAGTTGAGACTAGAGTTGCTGCCTGGAGATGGAAAAGGGGTCACCCACCCGTCACTGGAAGCTAAATACAGGAAAACAATTCATATTAGAAAACTAAATTACAACAAAGAACATATTAACAGAGACCATGATTGACATCAATTGTCAGATTTCTTTTCAAAAATTTATCTTTCAAAGACGAAGTTGTTTTCTTTTGTGTGATGAATACTTAAACAAAAAGATGTAATATCCAGTTAAGTACAGGGCACACCCACCTAGAGATGAAGCTGCAAAACCACTATCCTCTTCATTAGCAGACACAGCAGGAGGAGAGGGCACGGCCACTGGGATACTGCGTGCTGTAAAGAACACAATCCAGTGTTATATCTCACACCTAACACAATTAAAAAACCTACCCTACATTATGAATTTATTTGCTCACCTACCACATTGAAATTCCCACTACAAACAATACAACAAAAGCCCACTGTTTAAGTTAGACTAATTAATTACATCATATCCTAAAACACGTGCACTCATATTCACAAATATTCAGTTACAGGGTTATCATTTCTGGCACAGCATAATCAGTTTAATAATAATATGACAATTTAATCTTGATATCATGCAATTTCCCCCATATCAATTTTTTAAAATCTGTTCAGTTGCCTGAACTGTGCCTGTCACATGCAATCATCAGCAATACCTTCCTGTCACTGAGGTCAATACTCAACTGACAGCCGATTCTGTCCTGCTTTCGTAAAAAAACTTAATAAACTCAATAAACAAAGCATTCAATATATTTCTCCACTGCACTTCCATATTAACTAAAACAATGAAAACAAACATAATACATTTTCAAATTATCTGTGCAAGCATGCTCAAGTGTGCGCGCGCGTGCGCGCACACACACACACACACACACCTTTATCATGGCAGGTAACATACACACATATACATAGAATTTCAGAAAAATTTAAATGTACACACAAAAAAGAACTACAGTAACTTGTACATGTCACGTTCACAAGTAAGACCTCCCATAACTCCACAGGTTAATGAGTTACGAAGCAAACTTGTCACCAACCACACACACACACACACACACACACATGACACAGCATATAATCTAGTTATCTCTGGTCACAGTAGGCTTAACTGAGTGACACGTGTCGTGGTCACTGCATGCTAGTCACAAGAAGTATGTGGCAGCATTGCAATTAACTGGTCTATTTTATCTCTAAAAGCCTGACAACATGATAACATCATTTGAAACCAATCAAAACTACCTCAACTACCTCATCCATTATTTCGTACACAATAATGATAATACAAAGAACTTGCCCCTTCACTTTGAAACTTAAGATATTCAAACCCAAAATACCCAAAATAATGCTGTCACTTTTGACATCTGTCCTCTACCAGCCCTTCACTCAGAAAAAAAAAAAAAAAAATACACACACACACACACACACACACACACACACACACACACACACACACACACACACACACACACACACAACTAGCCAACATCAGCGTCATTCTTCCCCTGCCCACTGCCACTGTACACATGATATAAGTCAGGTGTCATGCCCATATAGTACATAGTCTGCTGAGATAGCACTGCACTAAGCTATGCTGCCATTATTGGACTGGACATGTTCCAATACTCACCCAATGATTGCCCCTCATGACCAGATGCTAGGTATTCTGATGTAGAGCTTGTCAGACTGCAGGAATCATCATTGTCCATGAGAAGTCTGTGGGAAAAATGTGAATGAGAATGATTATGAAACAGAATCTTGGGAATCATCAAGAGGACTTTAATAACGAATACCGAGGCAACCTACAAGATATTTCATTGATCTTGCTCCATGTGATCCACACCCACCCCCCAACCCAAGCTCAATAGGTATATCAAAGATACCCGTTTTGAAGAAACAGGGGCCAATAAGCACACAACAAAAAGACTGCAGGGTATTACAAAAGTAATATTTTCAACCATACGTATAGATACATGTACAAAAAGGTAGACAAGTGCACTAAATTCGAAGGGGAAAGCATGCAGTTTGTTGTTTGATCTTTTTTTTTTTTTTTTGACAAATGTTTGATTAGCTTCCAGACACATCTCACATTATATGTATGTAACATATATAAAGACACATGTGTAAGGCAGGTATAGACGACCTTTTATCAATTTGATATTAAGATAAAAGATTGACAATTTATCAGATAGGGATACCAATACAAGGGTAAATGTTTTCTGTACCCAGAAAGGGGTTACTTACCCACTGGACTCCCTGTTTGTTTTTGGTTCTATAAACACTTTTGTCACCATTAACTGTGGTGGTAGTCTGAAAAAGTCGAGTTGTAAATAAATTTGTTTACATTTTTTAGATTCCACATATATCACCTTATGCATCAAAAGTTTTATCACACTACACATATTGTTTTTTAATCTTAACAAGGGCATACATTTTAAGAAATATTTCCACAGAACTGCAATACTTAAGAGCACGCGGTAAAGAATTAACGGACGTTTAGTTGACATAGCCAATATATATACTGTGATAAACTGACCTACTAACTGAAACATTTTATCTTAAATATAAAATGCTGTCAAATAGATAGCACTGACCTTAAAGATATGAAACAAAATTGCAGATGAAACCTAGATGACTCAGTATTTGCAGCTGGATGATAAAGCTAAGAGAACTGACACCTTTCTTATTTCCAATGAGTAAAAAGAATTGTTTCCGATAAAATTAAGCATCCTTCTTCTGTTTTGGCAAAGAGAAATCAGTTTGCCCATTTTAAAAAAAGATTGATACATGATTGAATAAAACTAACCTTATACAGTGTACTTTGAATGCAGTCCCTTTGCTGGTCATAGGTACAGAGCCATACATCATTTCACCAAGGAGCTTGGCATCAGAACCTCGTTTCTCAAACTGGAATAAAATAACATTCAGTCTCCATATTAAAGGCACAATTTTTGCATATAGCGCTGGAGAATTTGTTCTTCAATAAGCTCTACAATAATTTTGGCCAATGTTTTCCATCCTCAGATTTGGTAATAAATCTATTCCTTTTACAGTCTGCGACCACTAGTTTGAGGACCACAACATGAAAAAACTTTTTTAACAAGTGTGAATTTAGTGTCATCTGAGATACTATTTGAATTTTTTTAATAAGTTTTTCAAGGAGCTTTTCATTTGATCTAGTTTCTTTTTTTTTCTTTTTTAATGTAACTGTTAAATGATGATTCTAAAGAAATTTTTTTTAAAGTTTGACAAATCAAGATCTTGTTATTTTGATATTAATGCAATAGGGGACATGTCCATTTTTATTGAAATTTTTATACAAAACCGGAAATCACAGTTTGGGCCAGCAATTTTTATAAAAGTGGTGGTCCAGATGACCAGTAAACTGAAAGACTACTTATGGCACAGACTACTTTTTATTTACCATGAATGCCACCATTTACCTGGTACTTTGGCCCCTGTCTACACTGCCATTCATTCAGACCATCACAGCTGTCTGTTAATTGTGAAACATTTTGTTCTGTCTTGCAACATTTCTTTGGCTGTTTGGAATCCTTCAAAGAACAGAAAATCAAATTTAAGGGACAATCGTAATGTTTTCACTGCAAGAAATCAGGTAAAAATCGAAATATAGTGTTCTTCAAGCAAGAATTGTTCATGAGCACCATAAATGCTTCATACATCCCCAAACTTTCTACCACAATTATATTGTAATGATGATGACAATTCTAAATAGCAGCTTGATCAAAAGAGGTTTGGTATATTCCTTACAATATCATGTTTTTGAAAGGAAACATATTAAAAAAATATAAGTTGAAGAGCTATTTTGATACCAGATTTCTAAGAAATACTCCACATAATTTTAATTCAATTTGGCCCTGTTGAAATATCACCTGCCTTATATCCATGAATAATATATGTTAAATGCTGGTTTACCTTGCCAGGTTCTATCCGCGTGACTGCAACAGAATCGTATACCAGCTGCCTTCCTTTAATGTCATGATCACGGTAAATCACAAGACGGACCTGCTCTTCTTTCAAACTTGGACCTCTCCATCTACAAAGCAAATATAATGCATCAGTCATCATAAATAACTTGCATTTTTCATTGTTTGAAGACATCAGCCTCTAAAAACCTTAGAATCTGTGCTGAACTTCAGAAGTTTGTTTTATGAAGTTGCCTATCATCATAGAAAGATAAAAATTCTACAGAAAAAACTATATAGTTTGCAAAGAAGCCATTTTTAACTGTATTTTAACATCAAAGATAGTCAAAAGCCAGTAGAAGAATCTTTTAAAAGATAACATTTACCAAGGGTTGGTATCTAATACCATGAACATGAAATAAATCCTTAAAATATTTCATTGTTCTCTTATTTAAAAAAACTGCATGCCATTCATAACACAAATAGTTCCTGGGAGATAAAAGATATTTCAAGTATCACCCCTGACCCCAAAGTAATTCATTGCTGTAACAGAAATATTACATGCACTAAAACCCTTTGTTGAAATAATTTTTAAAAAATATATAAATAACATTAAAACCATGTGTGATATTTGAATTCCAATACCAAATCATTATAAGGCAGTAAATAAATATCAAATTTAACCGTTCCAATATCACAAGTCAATGAACCATGGACAGGTAATTTTACCCTTCTGAAGGCAGATGGCTCACTCTGGCCCTGCTGCGGTGCTTCCCAATAGCTCTGTTCTCCCTCATGTCTTCCCAGCGCAATAAACATTGTTCCAATCCGTGTTTTATCATTAAAACTGCCGGCGATCGGTCTGGGAACTTCATTCTGGACTGAGGGACACCCAGCTAGATTAGAGCAGGTGTCACACGACTGAGAAGCACATGACCACTGTATTGTAATCACGGTGAGTAAACACAACACAAACAGTCATGTGATGCCACAGCGGCTGATCGGTCTGTACACTACATCTGAATGAAGGAAAATCTGAGCTTCAAAGCCAGACTGACTTACTTTTTGGGGGACTCCGAATGTTGATCTCTGCGACAACAGCCTTTGTTTCTCTGTTTGTTTCGACTGGGAAAAAGTTTGTGGAATAACGCCATTTTTGGTTACATCTTCGTCGCGTCATGTGACGATGTGTTATGCTGCCCCGCACTGAATAATTTAAGATCACCAGTACGTTAAAATTTAATTAAGTAAATAATGGATCTACTAAGGTATTTTTGTTTCACATTGTGAGTCACAATCTTATAAAGTTATATGGTAAGTTATATCTTGGTAAAATAAAAGGGAACCGCCCGAGAGATACTACTCGCGCCACCTATGACAAGAAGAGCCAATGCAATATTCTTAAACCTATGGCCTGCTGGACAACCATCAGCAAGAACTTGGGTTCAGCACTAGTTATTTTGAGAATTTTCAAAGACAATGACAAGAGCTACCACAAATCAAGAATTTTCAAATGAAGATATATAGCAAGATGTTTCTTTTTACCTCTGATTCTGATAGATTTTGTGGGTATACGTATGTAAATACTATCTATAAAATTGAGATATATGCTATTTCATGTCATATACATGTGACACGAAGTTACTTTATCACAGCAATGAGACAGCAACGATACACATGATATGGAATAATCCCAACTTTTATTGTTGTTAATTAAACTTGCAATAATATTGCATAACATATCATAAAAGGCATAAAACCAATTTTTCTATTTTGTTTTTTTGTACATTTTGCATGAAGTGAAAACATAATACTATTATACTGAGCAAAATAAAAATACAAGGATGAGATGTTCCTTTTTTCTTGCCAATCCTCTAGCATATTTACAACCATATGTTAAAAAAATTTGCTAGCCATTTATAATTTTTCCTCATTCTGCTCAGCATGCATCAAGAGCAATTTCCTACTTTTTTAAATTTTAAGAAGTTTCTTTGGACACCAATTTGATATGGAGATGTACCAAGGTTTGCAAACAACAAGGTACCTAGAGAAGTGTGACTTGCCTAGTTTGTACATTATATTGTGGTTTCACATACTTGATAAAGTAAAAGTATGAAAACAGTGTACTAGTGTATTATTTCTGAAGAATGCATGGGTAGCAAGTGTATTCTATAGAGGCAGTTAATACTCTTGACTGGTGTGGTAAACTTCAATCAAATGCCACCTAAATTCAGACATGACAAAGAAGCACATATGGAAATATGAAAATGGAGAAGCTGGCCTGTGTCTGCTCTGAAATCCAGACACCAGTAAACTACAATTAAAACCTCCTTAAATGATAATATAAAAGAAGACATCATAAATGACAAATTACAAGCACCATTCTGTTTTGTGCATAAATCATCTGTGACCTTGAAAATGCCAGCACCCAGCTGGTTGTGGTCCTTTTAATCCAAGTGTGACACCCATCCTGTGGACGCTAGGATAATGATTTTCTAGCCAGGGCTGATGAGGTGCACTATTTTTGCAGCAATTATTGATTGGCCATGAGTATTGGGTCCTTCCGTCTGAACTTCTGAGTCAAAGAGAAGTGGAGTGGGGAGGAGATGGCTGCAAAGGGTATAATTTTTCACCTCCCTTGTACTTCTCTATGTTCCCAATAGTCCAATTCAACATTTACAATTGCTGAGGCTGGCTGGGTTGCTAAATAAGATGATCAACTTTTGCCAAGAATCCTGTCACTACCTACGCCTCTTTGTTGGCATCGTTGGAAAGTCCTCATCGCTGTCATCACTGAATGCTACTCCCTTGCCCTTTCTCTTGGCTGATGCACTATTTACTTTGTGTGAAGTAGACCTAAATGTGTTCATATCATCGTCATCATCTGATATGTCATGCATGGAAATCTGCGATGACCTGCAAAAGAGTTGATCAGCATATTTGTGAATACAAAAATGTATGGCCAGTGTGTAAAGAAATTAGGCATTCAACTTTCAAGTTATATTATTTAAAAAAAAATTTCAAATTATAAAAAGTTAGAAATGAATTCATATTTAAAAAAAATTAAAGTGTGCTAGATAAACCCAATGATAGATAATCTGTCAGTGTGTTATACAGCTGCTACTCACTTTGCTGATCTGGAAGACTGGGAAGCAGCAGCAAACGCATCCTTGATGGAAGAAGAGGCTAAAGGGACAGTTCCTTTGCCTCTTCCTCTTCCTCGTCCTCTCCCTCTCGAACTGCCTCCTCTTTCAGAGCCACGTCCTCTAGTGGACCCTCTGGTAGTTGTCTTTTTACCCCGTCCCTGCCCTGTGGGAATACCCTGGTTAGAATCTGGCTCATCTTGGTCCATGTCTTCATCACTACTACCAATATTATTGCTCTCGTTCTGGGGACGCAACTCCCGGGCTCTTTTGAAAGCTTCTTGCACTTCCTCGTCTTCTTCGCCAGCTTTCTTTTTGCGCTCGTCTCGGAATCGCATGACTTCCATGTCCAGTACTTCCTCTGTAGCATTTCTAGACCTTAAGTGATGCTAAAATAAGATATTGAGTCAGTTACAGAGGGTCAGCAAACTTTATGTCATCCACTAATAAAGAAACTGGATAATGAAGATAAAGGGGTCTGGGAACATGCACGACCCCTTGTGGGTTTAATTACTCTTTCAGGTTTAAAAAAGAAAAAAAAAATAGCCTTAAAGACTCTTATCTGCTTACATACTTAAAGAAGATTTTAAAACTTTTCTTCTGCCAGACTTAATCACTTAAAAATATGGTATTATAATTAGCTCAAACTGTTTAATATAGCTATTAGCAAATTAATTCAGCTAATACCTGTGTTTTTTGCAGCTGGTACTTCACAAGTTCGGAAATAGCTTCTTTTTCTTCCTTGTCAACATATTCTTGCACAGCGTCCCCAAGACCTTTTTCTGTCAAAAGACACAGTTTGTGAGTCTGGAAGAATGAACAAAACATTTAATTTAGTATTGATTTAACATTTGTATCTCAGCTACAGACTCACTCCAGACATTACCTTTCACAAAAAATCGAGTAAAACTTTCAGAACTCTCTAAGAGGTGAAACTGACTGAGAAACAAACTCAACATGCACTTGTGAACTATCTCCCATCTTTTGCTAATATGTATGACTATCATTCTGACTAGTTAGACAGAGGACAGGTGCTCCATATCTCTAGATTTACCTCATCTGCATTTGAGAAGTAAGCTTTCACCATGTCTTCTACCCTTGCACTGTCTAAGGCCTCTGGCTTTAGTTGCTTGTCAAGGAATACATCTGTAAATATAATAAAAAGTTGTAAAATCATTAAATTGAATATATTGTAAAAAAAAAAAAAAAAAAAAAAAAATCTCCAGTTTTTCTTTAAAACCAATAGCAAAATGGCCCAATTTTCTTTGTCAGGAGATTAATATTTCTGTTTTACCCTTCCCATATTCTATAAAATTCTAAAACATAATTAGCATTCTCAGTCTTGTCAATCTCAAGCCTTTTCTTCTTTTAAGTAAAAATCCCACCTGGTTTAAAGTCCTTCTTGTCCACCTGCTTTTTCCTCATAAAATGGATGATGTCACGAGGATTTGCTACCCTGTCCACAAATTTCTGACTGAACCTAAAATAACAAAATCAAGGATGAGGTGTTCTCATAGCCAACAATGAGTCTGATTACAAGCTTCCTCTGTTTTAACCTATAGCTGTTACAGTAATGGAAATTATGTCATAATTATATTAAAGACCTGAATTAAGTCATTCACATAGAATTGAACCAACAAACAGTTGATAACTTCTGATGTCAACAGGTACATTAACATAACATGAAAAATCAGGTTTTCCCAGGATTGGGGTACAGTCTCTATGGGACCATTCCCACCGATATTTGGATCGATCTATCTCCCTGGGGAGTCTCACTAAATTGCTATCAACTAACCGGCTGAAATGTCTGTCACAACTAGTAAAGCTGTTAGGGGGTAATTATCTTTACCCCTTAGCTGATTCGGTACACGTGACAGACATTTAAGCCGGATGGATGGATCTAGGCATGAGAACCCAGTCTACCTACAACCTGTTCCTCTGGTTGCACCAGACTACCTCTCATCCTAATATGTCATGCTTGCGTTCAAACCAACATAAAGATACATTTTCTCAAAACAAACATATTTCGGATTACACGATCAGACCACAACCAAGATCAAATCTCACAAAGCTAACTTTTTACCTGACAGTGCTGAAGAGGTCAAACCCTCCACTGTAATCCACTCTCAGTCTGATCAGTGGCTTATCTGGCTGCCTTGGGTTCCCAGTGTGCTCACTCTCTGTTATAATGATAAAAGACATGGTACAATGTAGCACACAAATTTGTTAAGAGATATTTTCTCATATTGCCAGCAAACACTACGATAAAATTTGTTTCATGTTCATAGCAAATTTTTTATTCTCAATAAGATGTTCTCTGAATTGTTCCTTTTTAAATCTTCATACCCTCACACTTACCAGCTCTCTCAATCATTGCTTCAACTTTCTCTGAGCAGAAGGCCTCAACTTGTTTTGAAACTTCTGGCTCCTCTGGGTTCAGACTAGTCTCACTTAATACCACATCCTCCATGTAGAACGGGCGCACTGTCTCCAGTTCCACTTTGGTTATTTTAAAGTTTCTTCTGTTAATTTTCAGCAGCCCACAGTGTTTCTTTACAGACTCCCCCTGACTAAGTGAGGTAGCTATAGAGCTCCCTGGCTGTGTAATGTAAAAATTTTGCACAGGATTGTGACAAGGCTCAATAATGCACTCATGCTCATGACCCCAAAATACCAAGTCAAGGAAATCATCCAAAAATTGCTCAGGAATGTAGTTTGTAGGTCCATGTTTGGCTCGATTTTGGTGTAATACAAAGAGGTTAAACCAGTCTTCTTTGCTTTCAGTGGGTCGGAGCATGCTGACCTTTTTGCGCACAAACATCCTGTGAAGACGCTCATCTCGTAAAGCTCCAAGTCCATACAAGGCCAACTTAGTAGCCCCTTTCTGCAGCAGCACAGGACTAATACTGATCTCCTCTAAAGAAGTGGTTTTACCAAAGTAATTCACAAATCCTGCCACACTGAGAATGTCAAGTGCACACAAATTCCCCATGCCAGCAGGATCGTCATGGTTACCATGAATAGAAAATACTGGAATTCCCACATTGAAATTTGGATCTTCATAGTTGACAATTGGAAATCTGCTCTCACCAAAGTTCACTGCTTGGTCACTCAAGAATTCCACCTGACAAAAAGAAAAATAAATCAACCAGCTTATCTCTGTAAACTTTATTGAACTTATTCTATTAATGAACAAAACTTTGCCAAAAGTCTAAAATGAGTCAGAATAGAGAGCAATGTATCACTTTCCACCAATTTAACAAAGGCAATATGGTAAAAAAATAGTCATTAGGCTAAAATATAAATTATACTTTAATGACCTTACACCAACCAAACTTCCATAACATACCGGGCATGGTTTATCTCCCATACAATATTGTCTTAAAAGTTCCAAGCACCCATGAAGTGTCTTCCGAGATGGTTTATTCTCATGGAATAGATCTCCACCAAGAAGAATGAAGTCTACAGCCAGTTCTTTTGCCTTGTGCAAGATTTCCTCAAAGGTTACCAAAGAGTCATTACCCCGCACCACATCCCTTTCCATGTAACCCAAGTGACAGTCTGTAGCTATCAGAATGTTCATTGTGTTTTCCTCATCTTCATCAGCCATGATGGACACTGCTATTTTGCAACAACTAAAATGGATATAAAATCAAGAAGGTTACCCATACTGGAATTAAAATTTCAGGAATTTAAAGAACTGTATCATTTTTTATGAATCCTTGTGAACTTAACAGCAAACTGGCTCTGATTTAAGCTGATTGCATTACCTTTCCTGTTTGATATTTATATGTGTAACAACAAAGCAATAGAAAAGAACAGTGCATTTTCTATGGTGATATGAATTAGAAATCCCTTTGAGCATGCTGGATAAACAATTTCAATGTCAGGCTCCCATTTCTTTTTCACCAGATTGTCTTGTTAGACAACTTGCCATAATGCCCTAGTCTTTAACCAGCCTCCCTTCTTTTCTCCAAGGCATAGCCTGTACTGATGTTCACTGCATGCCAAACTCTTTAAAGAATGAAATTATTATCCCTGCCCAAAATATGCATTTAAAAATTTTAATGCCAAGTGAAAAAAATTAAGAAAGAAAAAAGAAATATATACAGGGACCAAATGGCGTATTAGCACTCTTTACAAATGCCAAACGATTCAAAGAACAAAATCAAGGATGCTCCTATAATTCTCATTTGCCAACTGCAACTAGCTGCAGTGCAACTTGCAAAACCAAACCAAGTCTGCACTGCAGCTAGTTTGCATTTGTTGCTAAAACTCAATCATGAACTGAGACTTAAAATCAGACACTTAAATCGCACTGTTTTTATTTTTCGCTGTTTAGATAAGTCGCTATTTCACCTTGGTTCTATCTGGTATTCTTAACTCGGTTAACTTGTACACTGCCTGGTCACTTGCCCAGTCCTGATTGAAAATGGCGGGGATAGAGGTCGCTTTGGTCTTCACTTCCGCTTTTCTTTCTAGTTTCCTGTTGAGCGGTGCATTGTGGATAATTTCCATGGTGATACCCCAACAAAGGGAGGTTATTGTTATTTCGCGTAAGACTATGTGCAAAGAGCGTGTGGTTACTCCAATACGCAGAACACATTAGGTAGACAACATTTGATTGCTTTGCCAAAAAGTTAGCTAAAGGATAGTCAAACGTTTCAGACTTTGAGTTAGGAAGGTTGTTAGAGGAAACTTAAAAAAGACAAGATGGGTGAAAAAGGAGGAAAGACGGATATGGAGAGGATTGGAGTGTTTCAAGAGATGTCATACGCTACCATAGGCGACAGATATAGACGACCAGGAGAAAGTAAGTCAAATTAAAATTACTTCTTTAACAGTTAATCAATGAATGCCATCTACATATTAAAAGCCATTTAGATCTGTAGGTCAAATATGAGCATTAAAAACCTTTTTATTTCTTACAAACATGATAATAGAAATTAAGAAGATGGATGAATAGATGGCCTAAAGGGAAGCTTAATTTTCATTACTTATATAAGCCTTAATATTCAGCATATCAAATATGTACTTACGCAACTTTTTTTGCACTTATCAGTGCATACAACTGTGACTTGTAAATTGATACATCTAAATGTGTTGTTCAGTGTTTTTAATTTTTTTTTTTTTACTATAAAATGTACAAGACCAATAGAAGACACAATAGGAACATGAAATACCTGTTTTGCTTATTTCCCATTGATTCTATGAATATCTACAATATATAACCTTATTTTCCAGTCCAATTCAATGTTTCTGCTTCAAAGGGAAAGCAAATGCTACCTGGTGGCTCAAAAGAAAGATCTGCATTGCAACATGGCTATTTCCATGAAAAATTCAACAGAGTGTTTGAATCAGAGGCATACACAGATCCCATTAAAATTAGGAGGCAAAGGAGAGTTAAAGAAATGCAGAAGAATATTGGAAAACAGTTTATTCCAAGCAGCGGTGAAAAAATGCCGTAAGTATATTTTCAGTACTGATAAAGTATTTAAAATGTGGAATTTTACCTCTCATTGGAGTACAGAAGAGACATCAATCATTTTTGTCCAGATATGTGTCCATGTGAAATATTTTGGTATGAATAAGGATTTTATGAAAGTATATTTTAGATATGAATTTTCTTGTCCATTTATTTTATTTTTCATAACTACTGGCTACATATAATTTGTGAAAAATGCTGCACCACAGCAGTTAAATCAATGAAGATAATGAAAAGCTAATTGATGCACTCATCACTATTTGTATGTCCTTTTGCAGTTCTGGTCTTGGAAACCATTATGGTACATTTGCTGGTCCTGTAAGTGCTTTTAGTCCTGTAGCCAAAGCAAGACAGGGATATAAAGCACCAGGAAGGAACTTTACAACTAACCCAGCCAAAAAAGGGACAGGCTATGGGTAAGCCCTATATTTATACTGCTACCGACTGTTTGTTAATTAGGTGTTTGATTCATCAATTTTTTTCATAAAAGCCTTGATTTCAGTGTTTCATATTATCAGTGACAGACTTGACATTAGTATATCACATTTTTGAAAACATACATTTTAATTTCAAAAATGTTAAATAATTTGTTTTCAAACACAACCAGTGTTAAAGAATTGAAAGAAGCTAAAAATGTTTTTTTGAGGAGTTAGATAATATATAGATCAGTGGAATTAATTTTTACTTATAATCATGTTTAGACAAACTGAAGAGGTTAATCTGCTTGGTATTTGTATAATACAGTGAGAAGTTCTACAGATACAAACAACAAAAGTTTGTTATGACTGCGAGCTAACAAAACATAAGATTTTCACTGCTTGTTCTTGTTTTGTATCTATAGATTACGATTTATGAATAGTGAATGGCTTTGTCCATTTTGTTCTTTATTCCAGATAGCACCTAGAAGAAAGCAATATGTTAAATGCTTGTCTGCAACAAAAAAAAATTGTTATTTATATATACATGTATCTACATTCTCTACTGTGGGTACTATATCATAAATTGTGTATTTCAGATATTTAAGTGTGACAATATCAAAATATCCTGAATACAAGGGCAATGAATATGACAAGACAAAAGAGATCTCCAAGGTAGACACTGGGTTTAATGGTGATCACCAATTGCACTGCACTTCATACATATGCACACTTATTAATCTACTAATATTTGTCAGGTGACAGGTCGTTTAGTATATAATTTGAAAAATCGCGAATTTACAACTTAAACTCATTAAAAAAACAACTCCCTATCACCTGCAAACTAACTTTGATTTCAGATGCATGTTGCTGTATTGTGATGATGGTGGCTTGAAGATAATACAAAATTCAGTGCTTGTCTCTTCTATCGCATTCACGAGTGGTCTTATGCACTTTGTTGTATTATTTAATTTTGCAGTTTTATCAGTGTAACAATTGGGGACTATCCTAAGTACTCAACGGAACAATATGAAAAAGGAAAAATTTTGCAAAAGGTGTGGCTTACTTTTGAATTTTCTTTTTTCCCCACTTTGCAAGTATTGTGTGAATGTTTTTAAAGGAGTCCTGTTCACTTTCACAATAATCTTTTTTTTTTTTTTTTTTTGCTAATAATTATTCTAATTGCACTAACATACTAATACCTCATTAATTTTTAACAATTTTTGGAAATAACTTAAAAATAATGAATTCAATATTATATTTGCATTAAATAATTGCATTTCTATTCTATCTTTGTTGTTAGAAAATGAAACTTGGTCTCAATATTTTCTAAATTTCATTTTTTTATTGTTTCTCTTAAACATTTTGATTAAATTAACATACTTTTTTAAAAACTCATTCATTGCTTTTTTTATTCTGTTGTGACATGATCATCATTTTTATTACAGCGTGAGAATGAAGCACACAGGAAAGCCCTAAAAGGAGGTGCATTCAGATTGAACATGCATCCAAAAGCATACTTTGATGGTAATCCTTTCATGTCAGACAGGCCCTTGCCACCAGCAAAGAAAGGAGTATCGAAACCCCCCGATGTCAAACCATTCAGGCCCAGTAATCCACCCAAGAAGGTAATATATATATATATATATATATATATATATATATATATATATATATATATATATGACTTAGGCTACATGAAAGAGCTTTACCTTTTGAAATGTTATGCATCCTGTATTCAACCACCCACATTTCTGATTGTTTATAGTCTTGTCCCAAATTTCAGTTCCGAAATGTGGTAACTGTGATAACACAACACAATACAACACAACAGTCTGCCTGTCATGTGCCAAAAACAATATCACACCCAGCACAATCAAATTATTGTCACAGAATGGAACCTCACGTAGCTGAAAAAAGTCACATTGATAAATATCCCAATAAATAGCTACAGGGAATATATGAGAAATATATGAGAAAGGTTTAAATAATAATTATACACATAAATAAAACAAAACATCAATTTGATTGTGAAATAACTCGAATGATATAAATAATTTCTAGGCTGGAGGATCCAAAGCCGGTACCTTTGACCCATACCCCTCACATAGTCAAGATCCATATGGCATAAAGTACAAGAGGCCAGTTCATGTAGTCAACAAAACAGGAAAAATATTTGTCCCATCTACAGGGCCAAAGACCGCTCCTATCTCTTCCATCTTAGACCAGAATGTTACAAAGTGAGTGATTCTTTTGAAATAAGTATATATTTAATTTATGTCACTAAATAAACGTTCTTTGCTAAATATTGTTATTATTGTTATCACTGAAATGATGATAACCATTACTATAATCATTACCTTGTTAATATTGGTTCCAAGTCTTGCAAGAAATTTTACCATAATTTAGAGGCTCTAATATAAAATATATAAACATGGGATCTTAATTGTTTGTAGAATGTATGTTTTTTGAAGATGAAGATTTTGTTATTTAAATTTACATCCTTTTCTTTTCAGAGTTGTGAACAGCATGAACTACAGAACAGTGCGATCAGTAACATATGGATAAAAGGATTGCATTTAAAGAGACATTTCTTGCATATCTTGTCATTATGTCATAGCTCATTCATACCTTACCATACCATAACTCTTACCTATATAATTTTTTGCATTGGTGCCAACAGATCTTACCCACGCACACATGTACTGTATTTGAAAAGAAAAGAATGAATAGAAGAAAAATGTTCACAATTTATAAAGTGTACAAAGATTAGAAAAAAACACAACTAATGTATTTTGTTTTGCTGAATTATGTTTTGCTCCATTTGTATTTCTCATCTTGTGCTAAAACAGATGTTTCCAAGTGATATATAAATGTAAGGGTTGATATATCTTTTTTAAAATGTTTAAGAATTTATGTAAAAGGTAGCAAGATGAACACAGTTTTTATATCATCAAATTCATTTTCATATGTACATACTGCTCATATCGTGCAAATGTCATAAATGCTTGTACATAATTACATACTTGTATATTGTTTTAAAATGTACAAAATATAGGCTTCTACAAGCTGATGCTAAGAAAATGATACAATATTTGTGTCAAGGGTTCATATAAAGATTTCAGTGAAATGTCAAAGTATTTTCTTTGTTTTTTGCTTGATCATTAAAAAAATGAATGTATTCTTGTGTAATCTGACTGCCTATCACAAATCTTGTAGACCACTGACAACACCTCTTCATGGTATTTTCAATTATTCAATATTCTCAATATTTTGAGTGTTTTCATGAAATTTGGTATAATGTTGATAAATGTAATGAGTTTAATCCCCTAATTATAATCATAGTAATATATATAATAACTTTTTCAGTATGCCAATTTACACGTTAACGTACTGGAATTACTCAGTATGCACTGTAGAGAATCATCACAATCTTGGGATTGGGGCAAAGACGCGTTTTTTTTATGTTTGTTTGTTGTTGTTTTTTAATACTCGAGGTTTGACATATTCTCAAGAATGAGTAGGATAAACAAACCCTTGGCTAAACGACTTCAATCATGAAATAAAAACTTGGTGGAAGGTCAGACCAGCCTGGTCAGACCGCGGTTGCCCGCTGCTGTGCAACAACGTGCAACAAACGGTCGACGTTAGTTCCAAGACTCAAGTCTAAGGTCTACCGCGCACTTGCATTGCGCATGTGACGTCAGTCAACAACAAAAGCATGCGTTGCATCGAAGTCTTCTACAAGTAAGAACTTTAGTTGAAGTTTTTCAAGATTTTTTTTGTTAATATACGCCTATAATTCTTATTGTGTCATGGAAAATACCAAAAGTTAAGGAGAAAAGCTAAAACTGACAAAAGGTATCGTGCCACAGCCTTTACGGTGGTTTTACTCAACTTACTGACGCATTTTCTTTTTTTAATATTCGTTTTTTCTTTTATGATTGCTTTGAAATAACGATTTAAAATATTTTGTAGTCAAATGCCCTCTTATTCTTATTTGCTTATTTAATTTGAATAAAAGAATCTACGTTTTGTCTTTAGGCAGTTTAGTTTTTTAACTCTGTTTTTACTTGTCTCGTGAAAGCAATTTAAAACTATATATAGTGTTTCTGGTACCAAGGAGTTATAACTCCTTGCTGGTACGTACTGTAGTAGTATACTGTAGTAGTACAAGGCGTGCCCCGTACAAAAGTAATGGTGTTTCTAATGTCCGTCTAATAAACATTTTTACGAATTACAAAAGTACACACACACTCTCACTCACGAACGCACACGCAGTGATACTGTGTATATTTCCTTAGCACTTGATAAGAATAAAAGTAAACGTGAGCTTGAGGCGGGTAAATTATTTATTTTCTCTCTTTAAAAAACACATTCATTTTAAAAGTATGAAATTTTCTTATTAAGTTACAATAAGCTAGTCCAGAAATAATGTTTTAGTTAATGCAAATTTTATAAAAATAAGATTTTGTGATATGTCCATCATTGTAATAATAAGAATTATTATGATAATAATAGTAATTGTTATTATTATTTTATCATTATGAACTAAGTGAAAGAAGTGATGACTATAGGTGTCTGCTTGAATTCAAAGTGTTAACCCTGGTAGAATGGAGATATAAAAAAAACAATCAATTAAGATTTTAAATTCCAAAACGTGTGGTAAATTGATTACTGGTAAGGAGATATGCTGCATTTATTTTATTTGACAACATGTATGTTGTCATTTTATAATATCCAGTAATGTTTTTTCTGGCAAAGTTTGATAAAAATAAATATAATATCTAGCAATACAAAATCATGTACTATTAAGTGATTATGGAAATGGCCTATTTTTAAACATTTCTTCATAGATATGTCAACAAGAGAAAGGTAATAGGGTTCAACCAGGCATAGAGTTTTCCATCCCTTGTTTTCTAGCTTCTCTTCCTCTTTTGTCTGGATTTTTATTCTTTTTTTCTCTTCTGTGATTGTCAGATTGGACTCATTGATTTGTGAGCATCAGAAAATTAATTTTGATCCCCCCCCCCAATCCACCTGAGGAAAATTAATTTTGGCAGATAAATCATGTACTGTAACAGAGAATTTCAGTTCAAATAACAAAGAAGGAATCAGGTTGAAACAGAGTTATTATTTATTCCATATGATGAATACAGTATATTTATCATGATATTTATCAAGACCTGAATATATCATTCCTTTGTGTTACAAGTAACAACTTCATTAACATACTCAGTATAAATGCAGATTTATTAAACAATCAGATAGGCCTGCATAATATTTGTAGAAAACTTTGTATCCAATTTTTTTATCTCATCAATTCTAAAAAATGTTAAATTGTCTTTTTGAAAGGAAATAGTAATTATTAAAAACCTATCTTTAAAATGTTCAAAAGCATCTGCACCAGTCAATTGTACTGATTCTGATACAGTGCTACATGTTACTTGCGCAACTAAGTATTAATATATTGTGAATCATCCAATTTTTTTTCACTTTTTATATCTTTTATAATTATATCAATAAGTACAGAATTGGGAGAGGTTTCTGCAGTCTACTCACACCAACTATTTCTCACCTGCCTATTAGTATGCCTATTGAACACTACTTACTACAAAACCTCACTGTACACTATGAACTCATGCAGTTATTAAGCTAAAACCCATTGAGTAACACTACAAAACAGCACTGGACACATAAACACATGCAATGGTATGGCTACAGTAGATACAGCACACATGGAATAAACCCACTAACACGGACAGAAGCAGGGTGCAAGGGATAGCTTTGAAGCAAACAAATAAAAGATTATCATTCCCCCTTACCGCTGATCTAAATAGATTGACCCAGCACTGCGCAGACTCTAGCAGAAAGCAATCAGCTAAACTGAATGACACGCCTCTTGTTTCCAAAAAATTCATTTATGTACTTATTCTGCAAGAAGAGGCATGTCAATCTGTTAAGCTGATTGCACTCAGCAAGAGTCCCTGCAGTGTTTGGCTGGTCTACATAGACAGTTGGTATTTTTTGTATACATTACACACGAAAACACGTCAATAACCCCCTGTTTTTTATTCCATAGAATAGCACTGTACACCTCATGAACACATGCAGATACAAGGCAGCCTATAGCAGGTATAGCACACATAGGAATTAGTCCACTGATGGCTAGAAGCAGGGTGCTAATGGGATAGCTGTGAAGCATATAAGTAAAAGTGACAATCACCTAGATCTCTATTCAATTTTACTGATACCATGCACAATTTTAAATGAAAATATATCAAGAAAGGCCCATTCTCACTGAAACTATCATTCTGCTAAAATCAACCCAGCTCAGTGGAGATTCTTGATGAATGTAATCAGATTTACAGATATAAGTCCCCTACTACGGTGTACTCAATTAATACATAGCCTGCTTTTCTATACTCTACTCAACACCAGGAGGTTTGTAAATCTGATTGCATTCAGCATGAGACCCAACTGAGCGGGGTCAATCTGTGAAGAACAATAGTGTAATTGGGAATGCATCTTTACAATCATGAAAAATGGAAAGTTTTGAAGGGTGCTTTAAATAACTAGACATTGACACTAGGTGTATGTCAGCATTTTACCAAGACATGACTACATGTACAACAATACTACAGAGCAATACTACATTTACTTTACCTTTGTAATACATACCAATAAATCTTTCAGTGACCTGTAAAAAAGCGACATGTATTTTAATTAATGACTGTAGAAAAAAAAATTGTTAAGTGTACCTGTATTTCTAGGTTTGAATCCATGAAAAACTAATTAATCATCTTTTGATATAATAATCTTTTTCACATTAACTGATTGGGTCTTTGTCTCACCCGGAAACATGACCAGTCTCCCCCTACGGAAACTCTGGTACAGGTGTCTTCTCATCTGAGGTTGACAGAAAACAATGTTATATGGATCTACCTTGTTTGCCAAACAAACAGCTGTAGCAATTGCAAAAAGTCCACAGTCTTGTCCACCAACTTGTCTTTGTGGTGAGTGCATTTCCACACTCATTTTACCATTGACCCCTTCACAACAATTTGAATACAAAAGCNTTTGTGGGTCAAATATGAGCATTAAAAGCCTTTTATTTCTTACAAATATGATAATAGAAATTAAGAAGATGGATGAATAGATGGCCTAAAGGGAAGCTTAATTTTCATAACTTATATAAGCCTTAATATTCAGCATATCAAATATGTACTTATGCAACTTTTTTTGCACTTATCAGTACATACAACTGTGACTTGTAAATTGATACATCTAAATGTGTTGTTCAGTGTTTTTAATTTTTTTTTACTATAAAATGTACAGGACCAATAGAAGACACAATAGGAACATGAAATACCTGTTTTGCTTATTTCCCATTGATTCTATGAATATGTACAATATATAACCTTATTTTCCAGTCCAATTCAATGTTTCTGCTTCAAAGGGAAAGCAAATGCTACCTGGTGGCTCAAAAGAAAGATCTGCATTGCAACATGGCTATTTCCATGAAAAATTCAACAGAGTGTTTGAATCAGAGGCATACACAGATCCCATTAAAATTAGGAGGCAAAGGAGAGTTAAAGAAATGCAGAAGAATATTGGAAAACAGTTTATTCCAAGCAGCGGTGAAAAAATGCCGTAAGTATATTTTCAATACTGATAAAGTATTTAAAATGTGGAATTTTACCTCTCATTGGAGTACAGAAGAGACATCAATCATTTTTGTCCAGATATGTGTCCATATATACCCAGATATATGTCCATGTGAAATATTTTGGTATGAATAAGGATTTTATGAAAGTACAGTATATTTTAGATATGAATTTTCTTGCCCATTTATTTTATTTTTCATAACTACTGCCTACATATAATTTGTGAAAATTGCCGCACCACAGCAGTTAAATCACTGAAGATTATGAAAATCTAATTGATGCACTCATCACTATTATTGTATGTCCTTTTGCAGGTCTGGTCTTGGAAACCATTATGGTACATTTGCTGGTCCTGTAAGTGCTTTTAGTCCTGTAGCCAAAGCAAGACAGGGATATAAAGCACCAGGAAGGAACTTTACAACTAACCCAGCCAAAAAAGGGACAGGCTATGGGTAAGCTCTATGTTTATACTGCCACTGACTGTTTGTTAATTGGGTGTTTGATTCATTAATTTTTTTTTCATAAAAGCCTTGATTTCAGTGTTCCATATAATAAGTGACAGACTTGACATTAGTATATCACATTTTTGAAAACATACAATTTAATTTCAAAAATGTTAATTTGTTTTTCAAACACAACCAGTGTTAAAGAATTGAAAGAAGCTAAAAATGTTTTTTTGAGGAGTTAGATAATATATAGATCAGTGGAATTAATTTTTACTTATAATCATGTTTAGACAGACTGAAGAGGTTAATCTGCTTGGTATTTGTATAATACAGTGAGAAGTTCTACAGATACAAACAACAAAAATTTGTTATGACTGCAAGCTAACAAAACATAAGACTTTCACTGCTTGTTCTTGTTTTGTATCTATAGATAACGATTTATGAATAGTGAATGGCTTTGTCCATTTTGTTCTTTATTCCAGATAGCACCTAGAAGAAAGCAATATGTTAAATGCTTGTCTGCAACAAGAAAATTGTTATTTATGTATTCATGTATCTACATTCTCTACTGTGGGTACTATATCATAAATTGTGTATTTCAGATATTTAAGTGTGACAATATCCAAATATCCTGAATACAAGGGCAATGAATATGACAAGACAAAAGAGATTTCCAAGGTAGACACTGGGTTTGATGGTGATCACCAATTGCACTGCACTTCATACATATGCACACTTATTAATCTACTAATATTTGTCAGGTGACAGGTCGTTTGGTATATAATTTGAAAAATTGCAAATTTCCAACTTAAACTCATTAAAAAAAAACAACTCCCTATCACCTGCAAACTAACTTTGATTTCAGATGCATGTTGCTGTATTGTGATGACGGTGGCTTGAAGATAATACAAAATTCAGTGCTTGTCTCGTCTATCGCATTCACGAGTGGTCTTATGCACTTTGTCGTATTATTTAATTTTGCAGTTTTATCAGTGTAACAATTGGGGACTATCCTAAGTACTCAACGGAACAATATGAAAAAGGAAAAATTTTGCAAAAGGTGTGGCTTACTTTTGAATTTTCTTTTTTCCCCACTTTGCAAGTATTGTGTGAATGTTTTTTAAAGGAGTCCTGTTCACTTTTCACAATAATTTTTTTTCTTTTTTTTTTTTTTTGCTAATAATTATTCTAATTGCACTAACATACTAATACCTCATTAATTTTTAATAATTTTTGGAAATAACTTAAAAACAACGAATTCAATATTATATTCACATTAAATAATTGCATTTCTATTTTATTTTCGATGTTAGAAAATATGAAACTTGGTCTCAATATTTGCTAAATTTCATTTTTTTTTGTTTGTTTGTTTGTTCTCTTAAACATTTTGATTAAATTAACATACTTTTTTAAATAACTCATTCATTACTTTTTTTATTCTGTTGTGACATGATCATCATTATTATTATTTTTCTTACAGCGTGAGAATGAAGCACACAGGAAAGCCCTAAAAGGAGGTGCATTCAGATTAAACATGCATCCAAAAGCATACTTTGATGGTAATCCTTTCATGTCAGACAGGCCCTTGCCACCAGCAAAGAAAGGAGTATCGAAACCCCCAGATGTCAAACCATTCAGGCCCAGTAATCCACCCAAGAAGGTAATATATGTGTGTGTGTGTGTGTGTGACTTAGGCTACATGAAAGAGCATTACCTTTTAATTAAAATGTTATGCATCCTGTATTCAACCTCCCACATTTCTGATTGTTTAAAGACTTGTCCCAAATTTCAGTTCCGAAATGTGGTAACTGTGATGACACAACACAATACAACACAACAATCAGTCTGCCATGCACCAAAAACAATGTTACACCCAGCATGATTAGATAATTGTCACAAAACGGAACCTCACGTTTAAGTAGCTGAAAAAAAGGCACATTGATGAATATCCCAATAAATAGCTACAGGGAATATTTGAGAAAGGTCTATATAATAATTATATATATTATAATATTATATTGATTGAAAATATGTAATGGACAAACATGTAAAATTGATTGTGAAATAACTAATTATATAAATAATTTCTAGGCTGGAGGATCCAAAGCCGGTACCTTTGACCCATACCCCTCACATAGTCAAGATCCATATGGCATAAAGTACAAGAGGCCAGTTCATGTAGTCAACAAAACAGGAAAAATATTTGTCCCATCTACAGGGCCAAAGACCGCTCCTATCTCTTCCATCTTAGACCAGAATGTTACAAAGTAAGTGATTCTTTTGAAATAAGTATATATTTATGTCACTAAATAAACTTTCTTTGCTAAATATTGTTATTATTGTTATCATTGAAATGATGATAACCATTACTATAATCATAACCTTGTTAATATTGGTTCCAAGTCTTGCAAGAAATTTTACCATAATTTAGAGGTTCTAATATAAAATTTATAAACATGGGATCTTAATTGTTTGTAGAATGTATGTTTTTTGAAGATGAAGATTTTGTTATCTAAATTTACATCCTTTTCTTTTCAGAGTTGTGAACAGCATGAACTACAGAACAGTGCGATCAGTAACATATGGATAAAAGGATAGCATTTAAAGAGACATTTCTTGCATATCTTGTCATTATTTCATAGCTCATTCATACCTTACCATACCATAACTCTTACCTATATAATTTTATGCATTGGTGCCAACAAATCTTACCCACACACACATGTACTGTATTTGAAAAGAAAAGAATGAATAGAAGAAAAATGTTCACAATTTATAAACTGTACAAAGACTAGAAGAAAACACAACTAATGTATTTTGTTTTGTTGCTCCATTTGTATTTCTCAACTTGTGCTAAAACACAGATGTTTCCAAGTGATATACATGAGAGCCTAGGGATTATATATCTTTTTAAAAATGCGTAAGAATTTATTAGACTATGTAAAAGGTAGCAAGACAAACACAATTTTTATATCATCAAATTCATTTTCATATGTACATACTGCTCATATCGTGCAAATATCATAAATGCTTGTACATAATTACATACTTGTATATTGTTTTAAAATGTACAAAATATAGGCTTCTACAAGCTGATGCTAAGAAAATGATACAATATTTGTGTCAGGGGTTCATATAAAGATTTCAGTGAAATGTCAGAGTATTTTCTTTGTTTTTTGCTTGATCATTAAAAAAATGAATGTATTCTTGTGTAATCTGACTGCCTAGCACAAATCTTGTAGACCACTGACAACATCTCTTCATGGTACTTTCTCAATATTTTGAGTGTTTTCATGAAAATTGGTATAATTGATAAATGTAATGAGTTTAATCCCCTAATAATAATTATAATCATAGTAATATATATAATAACTTTTTCAGTATGCCTATTTACACGTTAACTTACTGGAATTACTCAGTATGCACAGTAGAGGATCATCACAATCTTGGGATGGGGGCAAAAACGCGTTTTTTTATGTTTGTTTGTTTGTTGTTGTTTTTTTAATACTCGAGGTTGGAAATATTTTCAAGAATGAGTAGGATAAACAAGCCCTTGGCTAAACGATTTCAATCATGAAATAAAAACTTGGTGGAAGGTCAGAACAGACCGTGACCGCTGCTGTGCAACAGCGTGCAACAAACACCGCCGTGTAAAAAACACTATAATTGTGCATAACCTTTTTTACCATCTGAAGACTGTGCCGTATAAATTTTTTTGTCAGTCGTAACGCATTTTAATTACTCTCATTCTTCACACAATTAAAATTTGTAAGTCGAGTGTTGACGTCTGCAACAGATACATTCCTGACGTAAATGCTCTTTAGAAAAGGAAGTCCTAAAGTTAGAGTAGAGGATACGCTTTCTTCATATTCAGGGATGCCTAATTTATGTCGATGAAAAAAGGAAAAGTTTTATTCGACCAAAGAAGCGCCGATAAAAGGAAAGGTAGGCAAATAATCTTTACAATAACTCTAGGTCGTAGTGAAGTGTTGCAAATTTCAAATGGCTTCCTTAAAATGTTATTTCAATTCATTAAAATAAAGTAGGTCACCGTCTGGGGTTCATATTTTCTTTTTGTGTGCGTGCCTTGTGTGTTAAACTTGCATATAACGTTTCTAGGGTAGCTAGCTAGGATATTTTGTTTGGTTGTTTTAGTTTTAAATAGGTTTTGCATTCATGCTTGATGAAATATTAAAAGAAAATAGATTGTGAAAGGATGGCGTGGAAGTTGTCATTTGTTGTCTTTTTATTTGGCTTTTATCTTTTATTCCTCTAACTTCCAAGGATAGTTGTTTACTTGAAGGAAGAAAGAATCCAAGAAAAACCCTTATATATTCTATCACATGGCCTTATTGTTGTTATTCTATTGATTTTCATTTATTTATTTGTTTAATTTATTTATTTATTTATTTATTTATTTGTGAACTCATTATATGTGTAACTGATAATGCCTGCCAGCATCATCATGCTACCACAATTCTGGATTTTTCCGTGGCACAGTTCTTGTAATGTAATTAAACGTTATTGAAAGCAAATGCACCACGTAAATAGTGGTTAATATGTATAATATGAAAGAAATTAAGTAAGGTGATATCACAATTAATTTTTACCTGTGACAACTGTAGTTTTGTTGATGATGATGATGATGATGATTGTTGTTGTTGTTATTGTGCCAACAGAGTCAAATGCATTTGTCTTTTTACTCTAGACTCCATGTTTATGTGAACATTGGATTGTCAACTTTGTCAAAATTTTAATTAGCATCATCTTAAAAATGGCAATAAGACTGTACTGTTTAATAATAAATGATATGAAAAAAGAAAGTGTCAGTCAGTTAATTTTTCATTTCAGTTGCAAAATTCTTATATTCATTCAAATGTTTTAAATTGTGGCCTAAAATGTTAACTTCACATGCAACATGTTTCAGCATTTTTTTCACCACTCTTATTTTATCAAGCTAACCTTTTTCCACATTTTATCATTGCAGTAAATAAAGATGCTTAAGATTTCAAGGCTGGATATCAACCTGCCTGCAGATCTAGTTCAGACATGTGCTGGTGTGAGGGAGAGCCAACTCTGCAAGTTTATTGCAACAAACAGTCAGGGTAGGAGATCAATGTCACAATATATTTGGTCTGAATTAAATTTATTTATGACAGTACTTTATTCATCTTATTTAATTGAACGCATAAGACATTTGCAATAATTGACCTAGTGAAGTTGGTGTGACATTGACAGTTTGTGTTTTTGTCATTTTAGACTGGACGCTAATCCTGGACAGATGCTCATAAAACGACTTATTTCCTCTGCAACCTCTATTTAGTTCAAATGACATCATATTGTATAACAGAGTGGTTTTCATGGTTATACGCTGGTTATTAAGAATGTTGTACTTCTTTTATCATTTTTTGTGAAGCAGATGTGGCTGTTAGTAACTTTTGATTAAATTTTACTTCAACTAATTTGTAACTCGTTGTCATTTAGTCCAGGCTAAAAAGTTAAGATTTCTGGATTTTAATGGTTCAGTTTTTAACTTCTTCAAGCACATAATCTAGTGAACATTTTACCTGTTTACATGTATGTATGTATGTATGTATGTATGTATGTATGTGTGTTAGCATTATTATTATTATTATCAATTTTCCAAGCCTCTTCAAGTACACAGAACTGTATATTAACTTTCCAGGAGAGTTTCAGCACAGCATTGAGGTGCGTGGTAAGCAGAACAATGTGATCTCACTGGAGCTTTCTAACCTGTCAATCTCCTTCCAAGATGGACACTTTGTGGCTGAAGTAGAGCAAGCACTGAAAGTGTTTCAGGGAAGATCAGAGACTGAGAATGAGGCTGTTATTCCAGATGCCCACGTCACCAGCAGTCAAAATGCAGAACTGGAGAGCAGTCACTCAGACAGTGGTCAACCACCTGACCAGGTGACCCCTCAAGACCATTATGTAAGTCAAGTTCCCATGGCAACGAATGTTACACAGGGCCACCAACCTACTCCTGAGCCTTCTCCTCGGAGATTATTTAGAAATATTTCTAGGAAGAGGCCTGCTGAAACTGTCACAAGTGGTGCAATGAAATTCCCAAGAATAATCCAAGAAGAGAGACTGCCAAGTTTAACATCAGGCACAACTACCACAGCACTGACACAACAAACACATTCGGACACAAAACAGACTGAGGAAGTCAGTGTAGAGGAGTCTAGGCATGATATTGTTGAAGTGAAAGTAGAAACTGATGATGATGATTATGAAGACTTAACTGGTGCTATTGATGACAATACAGGTGACAGTGCTAATAAGCCGTCATCTTCGTACGTTCACAGTGTTCCCATGGTGTCACAAGCACTAGCCTCACAACACGTTGTATTAGGACACAGTTCTTCATCCACTGGGCACCACACTGGTCAACACACAGCAGTCCAGCACAGTGGTCAAGCCATAGCCAGAAGACAAGAACAGGTAAAGGTAAGTCCCATTTGATTGTGTTTGATGTTAAAAATGACTGTCACACCTAACACACTGAAATCCAATTTTGGCATACCCAGAATGCTGTCACATATCTAAGATCTTTATAATTTGGCTATGGTAAACTGTAAAACATTGTCACATCAGTTCAGTGATACTGCTAATATCATGCACACATAATACAATGTTACATGTAACACAATGTCACACCTAACACACTGTCAGTTTGTTGAATAAATTGATGAATCATCCTTGAGTATTGGTTTCTGGAATTAAAATCAATTTTGTGACTCCAGCAGGGTTCTATGTATTGTATGCAAAAAATGTTGTGAGTTCGTATGTTATTATGTAAACCATGTAATTAGTGTAGATTTACAGATTATGAGCTTATAATATCTTTGAAATTGAGGTCTGATAAAACAAGATTGACTGATAACATTATCATCGTTTTTTTGACCAATCAGAAAAAAGGTCTATTGGTCGTTTTCTCAGTGCATTTCGTGATGTATGCAAATATAATATATCGACTTCAGTCAGTCTATAATTGTATTTTATTATTATCATTAAGTTGCAATGTTGCTATATAAACAGGTGAAATAAAAATATAAAATATATTAAAAAGCGTATGAAAAGACCATAAAATTCTGTACTAGTTGTTATGGTTTAGTGTTGGTGGCTCTTGAATTTTAGATTTTGTGACCTAAAATTACCCTGTGATGTGTTGAAAAAAATAGCAGTTACATAACATTACTTAAATTATCCAAGTGGATCTCCCTATTGTATATAAGACATTTATTCTAAAAGATATGATAGTTGCTTTGATATTTACATGTCTCCCTGGAAGGTCTCTGGAAGATAACACTCATATATATATTCTTGAAATGCAAGAAAACAGACTTACAGCTTTGAGTGTCTGGGAATAATATATTCTTATAAAAGGATGGGTTACCAAAATGTTAAGAAGAAAATATGATTTCAGAGTCTGTAAGATCTATAAATGAAATCCCCTTGAATCCCCTTGTAACTACAGCCATTCTGCCATACTACCTGTAGGACACTGAATGCATATATATATATATATATAGAGAGAGAGAGAGAGAGAGAGAGAGAGAGATTATTAATTTGATGCTTCTAGCTATGAGAGTGAATGTCTCATCTCAGCAGTATCAGGGTGAAGAATATGGTGTCTTGAGTGAGGAAATGGCAAAATGTTTTCTATTAAAACTTGTGGCTGTTGTATGAAATTAACCCAAGGTAAAGCCTTGTATTTGTAAAGTTTAAGTGGGATATTTAGGAAATTCTTGTCATAGGACCTATCAAGGTGTTTGGCAAAGAGTTTTTTTTTCTCTGACAGCAAATGTAGTCAATATCTTGAACTCCTTATATATATATGTATCTGTCCAAGTTGAAATGAGGATCTTTGCTTGATATAAGTTGTGAATCCACCAGATGAACTTCAGTAAATTTAAAAGTTGTAAAATGCTTAGCCTGCTCATCAGTTAGGTTAGATTTGTCATACTACCTATCTGTCCATTTATCCTTCCTTATTTCCTTCCTTCGACCACAAAGTCGGTTACGGTATTTTGCCACACATATTGATCTGTGATTATTGGACAAGTTTGCTTGTCTGCTCAGCTTGTGTAATGCTTTCAAGGGAAACTAGTACATATTGGATACAAGCTAGTTAGGAGGTGTAGTTGAACAGATTGGAGGTGTGTGGACATCCAGCTCTCATTTTATCATGAGGTGAAATGCAGAGGGTCTATTTCTTGCAAGCCTCTTTTAGACAAAAGTGTCAAAAAAAAATTTAGCTCACATTTATTAACACAGTTGATAGGTTTAGTGTTGTCGTAGAATATATGCCACTGTTAGTGACACAGTCTTTCTGTTTCACATCCAGTATTAATAATCCTGTTGCAGTAGGTAGCGAAGGCATTTATTTGACTTCCCTTGTCTTAAGAAAGCAGCCATAGAGTAGACTATTTTGATATCTGAAATCAGATAAGAGTAAATTGCTGTTTTTCAAATGATGAACAGTCATGGCTTAGTGATGTTTTTAAATAATTTAAAACAGATTCATGAACATTTCTCCCTGAAAAATATTTTTGATGACGCAACAAAAAATTTAGAAAATGATAATAAGTCCACAGCATAAGTGGATTTTTTTTCAATTATGTTTTGCAAAAGATGCAGTTGTTATAAATGCATCAAGTCAAGTGATCTACCATGATAAGAAGATTAATAATATTGTGTAGACTAGTTACAGCACATTTATGTGTCTCTTCCATAGGTGCCTGGTAGGAAACGAGTTGGTAAGGAACTACTAACAAATGCAGAGAGGGTTAAGAGGTATGGTATTACCATAGGGCTTGGGAAACACTGAGAATCATTCAGCTGTATTGGGAAATAATTGAGAAACTGTTTCCACATATATATCTAGAGGCCTCTTTACATCAAATATTGCTTACTAGTTAATGTATGTGAAACAAGCTAAAAAATTCAGAATTTTTCCTTCGATTAGAAGTATTTCTTTGTCAGATTTTTCATAATTGGAATCTGCTTGTTACATTGTTACATTACATAACATTACATAGTGACTTCTTTTTCTTTGTGGCACTCAAACTTTTAAGTGAAAATTACCTTCCTGTATATATATTCCTTTTCTTTTTACTAAAGATTTAGAAATAAAATTAAAGGAGACTGTGAACTGTGGGAGTATTTCAAGAAGTATGACAGGTTGAGGAAGAGACTGGAAAGAAGTAACAGGACACCAGAAAAATCTGAAAAAGATCAATTGTTGGCTGCTAAGCAGCAGTACCAAAGAATGAAACTGAACCGCAGAAAGATGTTAGAAAACAAAACTGACAATGTTCAGATAAAAACAGAATCTAATTCTTTTGAAGAAGCAGACTGGTAATCCTAATAACTCCTAACAATTTGGTGCTACATATGAACTTCATAAATTTATTGGTCATAATACATATATATATTTATGTATATCTGAGGACAAGGTGAATTTTTGCTATTCAGAAATGCCCACTTGGGTTATTTTGAGAATGAGTGATGTTACAATTAAAGGAACTATTTTGTAATATGCATTATAGGAAGCACAGCACAATCTTGGGACAGTTTTTGCTACTTACCCCCTCCTACCCAACCACCCACAGTATATGTATAGTGTGCTGCCACCTATGTGGCTGTTATATACATATGTATTGTCTGCTGCCTCCTGTATGGCAGTTACATGCTATAGTGTCTGTTGTTCATGTAAATGCAGTGACATACTTGGGAATGATGTTGTCTTTTTATGGCTGCTGTCAAAATTCAGTGTCATATATAGTCAATGGTATTGGATTACTGGATTATAAAATGTTGTATTTATTTTATATAAAGATAAAGCAAAATACACATCTTCAATGAGAACATGTGGATCAACCTGAAGTTTTGTTGCCTTGCCTTATTTATAAATGTGCCAAACGTCCTGAATTTACCGTGTCAGTCTGGCATTTTGATTGAGTGTCCAAAATATTGTTGGAGTCCTATATTTCTGATAAAACATGTGAAGAAAGATTTGTGAGATTAACATTTACACTAAAACTCTATCATCCCTTCAAGCTTCAATGTAGATTTATACAAATTTACAGACAGCTTGTGTCATGATTAAAAACTGTATATAGACGCAATAGACATTTGGTTCTAAAGTAAAGAGTACTGCTTATGTACATTAATCATGGAGAACCTAGTGGTTGGTGATCAATTTTGAAATTACAAGTTTGACTATCAAGAGGTACAGGTAAGTGTTTTCTTTTCTTCAGATAGAAAAATGTTAAAGTGTTTAAAATGTAAAAAAAAAAGTAATAGTGTTTTAGGTGTGACAGTATTAAATTCTGCCAAGGAGGTTGTGTTTTTGGTTCCTTTTGTAACTGTGCATAGAAAAATAAGTTTTGCATCGTTCACTTTGCAATTTCTGAGTGCATGTCTTCAAATATGTTCAGAGGCCACATCTCCAAAAGTATTTGTCATATTTGTAAACTAATTTGCTGATATTTTTGGAACCCTCACCAAAAAGCAGATCAGAGAGGTTCGCAAGTGACCCATATATTTCAAATCTAAAATGGCATTTGCCTATATTTGCTTTCTGTTAGGTCTGCTGTTGGTCTGATAGCTCTTCACTGTTAGGTCTGTCTGTTAACAACATTTTGCCAAAAGTTTTGGGCAGAGTTTGATAAAATTTTCAAAAACTGTCCATTGGTGACTAGGTACCTTGCCTTGGTATTGGTCCATAACTTGTTGAATGTCTTCATAGATTTTTATTTGATTTTTTGTTAAAGATAATTACTTCTTTCACCAGATTGATGAACAGTTAATACGTGTCATGACTGATGAGCAGATAGAGGAATATATCCCCACATTTGGGGACAGAATAGCCCAAAGTACATTAGTCGGGGAGCAGTGTGAAGAAGGTGAAGAAACCAGCACCCAGTCATCACAAAGCAAGGAAGAGGGAATACTGGAGAGGTTACAAGAAGAGTTTAGACAAAAGTTTTTGAAGGAGAAAAAGTCAAGTAGATATGAGTCATTACATGGAAACCAAAATGCAAAAAAGAATAATCGAAGGATAGAACTAGGGTGGCTTCACAAAGAATGGGGCAAAGGGTTCACACAGGTTAAATCGCAAAATGGAGGCGGGACTCGGCATTTAACAATCCCTTGTGATATGAAGATGAAAGACCTTAAGCAGGTGGCAATGGATCTCTTTTTTGAACATGGACAGTCTGGAAAAGGTGCAGTTTCAGATTTTCATTTTAAGATGTGCCACTTTAGTAAAAAAGAAATTGACGAAGAATGTACAGTGAGAGAAACCTATGACAAGAAAAAAGTCAAGTTGCTAAGAGTATATCTGGCAACATATCCAAAAGATTAATTTTCACACCAAGTGGGTCTGCAACTCGCACAGTAACATTCATCACAACAGAATCCAGTTCTCTTCTATGTAATAA